ACTGCCGACCCGTCGCTGTTTCTGCGCACCGACACTTCTTTGCCGCCGTTCTACATCCTCGTGTACGTCGACGACTTGGTCTTTGCCACAGCTGACACTGCTGGACTCGCCCACGTGAAGTCCGAGCTGCAGAAGAGACACACGTGCACAGACCTGGGTGAACTGCGCAGCTACCTTGGCTTGCAGATCACCCGGGACAGAGCACGCCGCACCATTACCCTGACTCAGTCACACATGGTGCAGCAGGTCCTTCAGCGCTTCGGCTTCACGTACTCCTCGCCTCAGGCCACTCCTATGCCTACTCGCCACTTGCTCTCAGCTCTGCCTTCGGATGAGTCCGTAGAGTCGAGTGGCCCGTACCCAGAGCTTGTTGGCTGCCTCATGTACCTGATGACCTGCACACGACCTGACCTCGCATACCCTCTTAGCATTCTCGCACGCTATGTTGCTCCTGGGAGACACAGACCGGAGCACATGGCTGCAGCGAAGAGGGTGTTGCGTTACTTGTGCAGTACGTCGGGCATGGGGCTTGTGCTTGGAGGGCAGAGTCCAGTGGTCCTCACTGGGCACGCAGACGCTTCTTGGGCTGACGACCAGGCTACGCAGCGGTCGTCACAGGGTTACACCTTCAGCCTTGGTTCCGGCTCTGTTTCGTGGCGGGCTACCCGCTCGTCTTCTGTTCTCGGCTCCAGTTGTGAGGCTGAGATCTACGCCGGGGCCATGGCTGCACAGGAGCTTCGCTGGCTCACCTACCTGCTGACTGACCTCGGAGAGCCGCCTCGTTCTCCTCCAGTGCTGTACGTAGACAACAAGGCCATGCTGGCCTTGTGTCGAGAGCAGAGACTGGAGCACAGAACGAAGGACATTGCTCTCCGCTACTTCCTTGCTCGTGAGCTACAGCAGCGTGGTCAGCTGCGGCTTGCGTACGTGGCCTCTCAGGCCAACACTGCTGATATCTTCACCAAGGCACTTGCGCCTTGTGATCATCAGCGCTTCTGTACTCAGCTGGGTCTTGTGCCCACCTTGCCTCACTTGCTCACCCCTTGACCTTGTTTGTACTGATGCATATACATATATACTCCTGCTCTTGCTTGTCTAGCCTTATATATATATGTAATCCTGCATGTGAACTGGCCTTGTGGCCTTGAACTTGTGCTCGGAATGTGTGGTGACTTTGTGATCCACCCTGAGCTTGTTTTGCTTTGCTTGACTGGTCCTGTGACCCCTTGTTCTCCCCCACTTTGCCTATGGGGGTGTGTCAGATTTATATGACATAGCTACTGTAGGCTATAGTGGGGTGGCACATATGGGGTACAGTTTTCTAGGGTTTGCTTTTTGTACCCAACTTTCACTTAGTCATTTCATTTTTCCTCGTTTCTTCTCAGCCTCAGAAGTAAGCAATAAAATGTTGATTTAGGTAAAAAAAGGCTGATATTTCATACCTTTTCTAGAACCAAGGCTGATTTTTCAGCAATTTGTTGAAAAGAAGCGGGAAATTTTATAAAATCTGTAGTGTAAAATGACATAAAATGGCTGATTTGTCTGATTCTCAGCAGAAAGTTTTGTACCGACTCTGATTTTGCAGCCTAGGCCAAAACGAATCTGAGGCTCTGGCTACAGGGTGAGGGCAGGGCCATTTTTTTGAAGTAGATGTCGCGTAGGTTGTAACGCTACACTACAGTTTCAAGCACTTGTGCACAATACATATATATATACACATATATACATATACACATATATATACTTTCCCCCGTAACTGCCTGACACACAGCTGTGCCTTAGCAGCAAATGTACCGCGGAGGTCCACACGCGGCGGGTGCTCGGCTGGCGCGGTAAAGATGAGCACATTCTGCGGAGAGTCACTCTAGAACGGTAGTGAGCTAGACTACGGGGTTTGGAACGAACTACTAAAAGTGATCGTAGCTTGTTTGCGTTCCTTAGCACTTGCACATTCATAGGAGAAGTTGGCAAGAGTTTCACTAGCAAAGTTGGAATTACAGAATGGTTAAACAAGCAATGACAACAATGACTACATCAGGCACCTAGCAACCTTGCAGCTAGCCTGGTCGACCGCCAGCACAGCTTGGTCGACTGCCTGCCAGCGTTGCGTAGAGGAGCCGCGCCAGCACTGCGGAAAGGCGACCTGCCAACAGAGCAGGTCGACGGCGTGCCAACGCTGCAGCAGAGCGGCTGTCCAGCATTGCCTCGTAGAACACAGCAGTGCGCACGCTCGCAGGTGAGCGCAGACGATTGGCCCGACTTGCCTCGTTGGGCATCCGTCGGCTGTTGTCTGCGCCTGACGAGCCACATCGACTCCGGGATACCAGCCCGCAGTCACCTTCGCCATCGCGACCTCGACGACGTTCGCGTGTCTCCGCAGAACTCGTCGAGCAGGTTACCCAGTCGACCTGGTCGACCACCAGGTACTTCCGGTCGACCACCACTGCCTCTGGTCGACCACCAGGTCCCTTTGGTCGACCACCAGGTGCACCAGGTCGACCACAACTCCCGTCGAGCTACCCCCTGGTCGACAGACCCCTTCCGTCGACCAGAACAGTCAGCGGTTGTCGCCGAGCTCCCCTCGTCGACCGCTGCTCACTTGTCAAGTCGACAAACTGCTACGTCGACCTCTCGGTCGAACTGCAGGTCGACAGACTGCTCACGGTCGAACTGCAGGCTGACAGACTACTCCCGGTCGAGCTGCAGGTCGACAGACTGCTCCCGGTCGAGCTACAGGCCGACGGATTGCTTCATCGACCTCCCGGTCGAACTGCCCCTCCTGGTCGACGACCCACCCGTCGCCCAGACCAGTCAGTTGCAGCTGTCGAGCTCCCTGGTCGACAGCAACACCACAGAGGTCCCCTGCAGCTCGACGAGGCCTGTCGAGCAGCTCTCCACTGTGATCAGTCGGCTGCTACTCCCGTATATCCGACCAAGTTGTCGGCGTTGCCCAAGCGAGGGCGGGGCCATCACTCCATTCCCGTTAACACATTCAGCAAGAGCGGGCGACACGATGAACACGGAGCGAACAGGAGAGAACTGTAGGAGGAGGACAGGCGCATCAAACAAAGAGGAAAAGGAGGAGGATGAGGAGGAGGAGTAGGAGGAGGAGGAGGAGGAGGAGGAGGAGGAGGGGGAGGAGGAGGAGGAGGAGGAGGGGGAGGAGAGAGAGAGAGAGAGAGAGAGAGAGAGAGAGAGAGAGAGAGAGAGAGAGAGAGGGAGAGGGGGAGAGAGAGAGAGATGGCAAGCTCACTCTCGCCACCCCCTCAACCTCCCCCGATAGTGGCAGGCGCTTCAGGGCAGCAGACAGGGCGGCGGCTGTCTGCTGCAGTGTCACCGCCGCCACCCTTTCAAGCTTTCCGCTATAGCGGTAGGAGGACAGCGGTTGCTGTCGTGGGGCTTCACTCACTTGTGCTGCAGTGGTAGCTCCATGTGGGTTCTGGCAGATGAGGCGTGACATGCAGGGAGGCCTGCGCAACTGCTGGCAGAGGTTGCGCAACGGGCAAAAGGGCCAGCGCGACTGCTGACAGAGGTGGCGCGATGGGGCCGAAATGAGTGCAACGAGGGCCGCGAGGGGGCCGCGACAGGGGCAGTGACGGCCGCAACCGTGGAGCATGACATGGTGCTCGAGGGAGGGGCAGATGAGAGTGACGGGCCAAGAAAATTAGGGTGCATTCCGCTGTGGACACTTTATCAAAGAAAGTGTCTGAATCGATTGGGACATGAAGTTACAACATATGCTGCCAGGTGTCCGAATTCCGGACCGCTCTTGTTTGTCGCAAAAAATATTTTTCATTCGGTGGCGTGAAACGCAGAACTGTCGCGGGCTAATTGCACGCCAAGTCAGCACACACCAGCCATCGCACGCAGTTACAAATGTCAATCCATGATGAATGTACCAGGTTATCATTATAGAGGGACGGATTTCAGTAGCTACGCGCACTCTGAAACGTGATTGGCCACACAAGGCTCCTTCGGAATTATTGACCATCCCGCTCATTTCGCGCCCACAGACCTTTCGCCCAGGTCGTTGTGACACGCAGGTTGAGTGGGCAACTCACACAACGGACCAATCACATTCCTTCACACAAAATTGTTCGCGAGGTCGCCGTGGGTCGCAGTACATCGATCGATTGGGACATGGAGTTCCGAGACATTAGAGGGCGACTCGGGGCAAAAGTGATTCGGACACTTTCTTTGAGAAAGTGTCCACAACGGAATGTACCCTTAGTAATTGGGGGGGGAAGGAAACTATAAAGAGGAAGATGAATAAAGAGAGTGTTGCATTAGGAGGACGAGATAATGTAAATATTGGAGACAAAAACTGGGTAAGACAAAAGGTGAACCACCAAACAAGTGTAACACTGCACTATAGGCTTTTACAAACATTTAACAAGTATATAATCTATTTAATGACATTTCGCCCAGTAACGGCTGAAGAAAGTTAGAGGCCCATGAACAATGTTGTTTGCGGTGATTTGAGAATTTTATTACCCATTATACTCTAGAATCTTGTTCATGTTTCAAATTACCAAATTACTAATGTTGTACATTGATTGGGTTGATGGAGGACGATCAAGTGCGAATTCGAGGGAGGCTGTAACATGGGAAGGCCACTTGACCACTTTGTTTTTGTCGTTCATTCGCCCCAACATTCGCTCCCACCAAACCTCGAAATTCTGTCACCAAACCAGACCTAAACACCACCTCGAACCACCTCCCGAACCTAAGCCCAAACCAGTTTGGCCTTGGTAATCTCGAGGAGGGCAGCATCAAGGCAGACCAAGGAAACCCTAATCGACGATACCTGTAGGTAGTATGCTTGACATAGACTGGAACTAGACAAAACAGGTATAGCTGACGGGGCGAAAGCGCAGATTATCTGTAGAGTACCAATCATTGTCTGCGGTCGCTGTTGTTCGTCGGTGCATTGTAGACTTTATGGGTCGGCATGTTGGGCCGTTATATCTCGTCATCCCTAAGCCGCACGTCTTGGGCACATGAGCATCGCGTCGTCATCACCGCATGTCATGGACATGGCGACGATAGACGACGCTGCAGCTGACGACGCATACACAGCCGTCGATGTCTGGAGCGATGGCTTGCTCTCAGAATCCGAGAGCCTCGGCCGGACGATCGGTTTGCCGCCTGATACCGACGACGGCAGGAGCGAGTGCGATACGCACTGCCTGCTGTTCGGCCGCAGCTGCTCCCGCTATCGGCGCCGGCTCTGGTTCTTCTCCGCTCTCTCGCCGGCTCTGCCTGGGGATGACCGCAACGCTTCAGGCAGCGTCTGCCAGTTGCCGCCGCACTGCAAGTCGTGGCGCGGCGGTGATGCGCGGAGTCGGCGCGAGATTCCGCCGCATGGCGCCGATAGAAAGAGGGCAAGGCGGAGGTTGGAGGAAGCAGGGGGGAAGATGGACGAGGAGGCGGAGGAAGCGGAAGAGGAGGGGGAGGAGAGGGAAAGGGGGGGAAATGGAGAGGAGAGTGATGGGAGGGAGACGCGGGTCAAACGGTGGATGCGAGGGCCCGTGGGGCTGTATGTCAGCGTGATGGTAGGTTGCGCCGTGTGGGTCGCTTGGCGTCATAATGGCGCGTTGTAGTATAGCTAAGGACCGAAGCCATGGGAATTAGTGGGAGGTAGGTAGATTAAGTAGGCAGATAGGTACGTAGGTATCAGATAGAGCGGCCCGCACGGGTGTCGGGCAGCGCGAATCTAACGGTCTTGCGAATCCATTGGTCGTGCGCCGCATCGTTGCGCCGTCAGGGTCCACCCTCCACCCGCGTGACCCGCTCGCCACTCGCTTCCCTCACGTCCAATTCCTCTCCATTCGCCCACCCACCACCACAATGCCCCCCACCGGTCACCACCATACCTTCCTCTGGCGGTCACCCATTGCTGGGGCTACCCTCGTTCCCTCTACCCACCTGATGATGGCTTTCTCTCTACTTTTCCATTCTGACTCTGGTGAATCCCTCTTCCCCACCTCCCCCCCGCCCCGCCCCTTCTCCCTTCCCCCTCCCACTCGGCCCCACTCCTTCCCATGCGCCCCCCTTTCCCCCCCAATCCGCGCACCCCCCCCCGTCAGGTGCTGCTCTTCCTCGCGCTATTCATCACCGCCTTCACCGCGTGCGGCCTCGTCGCCTGGTACCTCTCCCCCGCCGCCTCCGCGCCTCCGTGCGCCTCTCCCCCCTCCTCCTCCCCCTCTTCCTCCCCCTCCTCCTCCTACTCCGCCTCCGCCTCCGCATCCGCCCCCCCCGCCAGCCCCCCCGACGCCTCCTTGCGCGAGCACCTGTTAATCTCCCTGCAGAACGCGACAGTGGCGGCGCTTCTGCCGCCGCTGAACGCGCTGAACGGCATGGCGGTGCTGCTCGCGCCCACTGCGCGCGACATGGGGGGAAAGGCGGTGGCGAGGGGGAGAAGGGGCCGGGCGCGGGCGCTAGCACGGCTCATGCGCAAGGTGGGGTGGACTCACGAGTTGTGGTTGGTCGGTAGTGTGTAGTCCTGTAACCCCTCCGACTTAGCATTGCTGCTGCTACTGCTGCTGCCGCTTGATGCAAGCAGCATAGTGCTCGCTTGCCATGGGATCTTTCTCTAGAGTGCGAATTCAACCAAGTTCTCGAATCTATGATTCTGCTTACTGCAATGTAACCAGTCGCCTCCGTGCCTCACAGCTCTCACCTTTAACCTTTCCCCGCTCCTGTCACATCCCTTGCCTATCTCTTCCCTGCAAACCATCCCCATGCGAACCCATCTCTGAGCAGGTCGTCCCGCACATGTATCCTGCGTTTCTGGGAGCACCGTCACTGTCGGCCGTGGTGCTTCAGACATACAACCGCTCTGTACCCACTCAGTTCGTGGGTTACTACCGTAACTGGACCGCTGACTCACTGCTAACCCATTCCCCGCACTCGTCATTTTCCTCTGATAGCCTTCCGTACCGTACACGTGCGTCGCCCCCACTCTTCCCACCATCCACTGACGTAGCAGCACCTCCTGACAATACGCCTGGTGATTCACCTGGTAACTCACCTGGTAACTCACCTGTTAACACGCCTGGCAACTCGCCTGGTAGCAACACAGGAACACCTGACAATATCACCGCTGGGAGCAACGCATCTTCTTTGCCTCTCCCGTCTCTCCCTCTCCTCTCCGCCTCATCGCTCTTCTTTGGACTCACCCCATCAGTCGCCACTGCCACTGCCAGCACCACCACTGCCATCACCACCCTCTCCGCCTTCCTCTCCCCCATCAACCCCTACGACGGCCTCCCCATCACCTCCCCACCCCCCGCTCCCACTGCCTTACCCCCGCTGCTGGCCCCCCACTCCCTCCGCACCTCTGTTCCGCCAATCCCCTCCCCCGTCTGGCTACTTGCGCCCAACGCCTCCCCCTCTCTCCTCGTCGCCTCGCTGCTCCCCTTGGAGGCGTCCGCGTCCGCGCAACCTCCAGGGGCGTCCGCGGAGCCCTGGGCGGTGCTCTCCGCGCTGCTGCCCTTCCGCCACCTCTCCCTCCTCCTCTCCTCCCTCCCCCTGCCCCCAGGCGCTGCGCTGCTGCTGCTGTCGCAGGTGCGTGCGGCGGTACTGCGAGAGAGGGATGCGTGAGTCATGGAGAAGAGAGGAGAGAGGAGGAAATGGGATGGGTGTGGACGAGGGAAGGGATGAAGAGAAACAGGAGGGATGGGCGAAACGTGAGGATTTTCTGTTGTGATTGTAATGTGTCAGGAGATTGATCATGCGGCAGTGGCAATGCCAAGCCCAAGCGCTTAAGCCTTTCCAGTTCATTAGCGCGCCACGTTCCCGCATTGCATCTCTGCATTCCCCCGTTCCCTCGGTCCTTCATCTCCTCATCCCCTCATCCCCTCATTCGGTCATGCCCTTATTCCCTCATAACAGGACGGTTACCTCGTGGCGTCATCGCGCCTCTCCTACCAGCAAGAATCCCCTGCGCCAGCTGATTCAGCAGCAGCATCACCTGCAGCAGAGGCAGCAGCGAGCAGCAGCGATCCCCTGGTCCGCAACACCGCCCTCCTGCTCGCACAGCGATGGGGGTGGGGTACCCAATCGCAGAAGCAGCAACAGCAGCAAGGGCAGGGGGTAGCACAGACGCAGGCGCAGGCGCAGGGGCAGGGGCAGCAGCAGGAGGTGGCGCCAGTGCATGAAGCAGCAGTGGTGTTGAAGGACTGGGTTGGGGGACAGGAAGGGCAGCAGGGGCAGCAGGGGCAGGAAGGTGGGGGAGCGGGGCAGGAAGCAGCAGCAATAGGGGCGGTGGAGGACCGAGTCATGTCTCTGGACGCCGTCCCTTTCAACGCCTCCTCAGGCCTCTCTCTCGTCGCCGTGCTGCTGCTGCCACTACCTTCCTCCTCTTCCTCCTCCCCATCCTCTGTCTCTCACTTACTCAACTCCTCCTCTCCACCGCCCACCTCCTCCCCTTCCTCATCCTCCTCCTCCCCCCCTGGCCTGTCCCATGCCACATCCATCACCATCCTCTCTATCTCCCTCACCGCGCTCGCATGCCTCCTCCTCTCCTCCCTCCTCCTCTGCTCCCTCCTCCCGCTACCCATCTCCCTTGCTTTCCTGGGCTGCGTACGCTCCTCCTCCTCTTCTGCCTCGTCCTCTACACGCCAGCGTCCAAGACCCTCTGCTTCCATGGCTTCTCTGCACAGCCTTCTCTCTGTGCGCTCCTCCTCGCTCTCGCTCTTGCCTGGGCGGGACGGGGCTGGGCAGGCGGTGGGGGAGCGGAAGGGCAAGAGGAGGGAGAGGTGCGCGTGTGGACGGGCGGGTGCCGAGCAGAAGAGCCAGTTTATGGTCAATATGAGGTGTGTGGGGGAGGGGGCATGGGAGGATGAGCGTGGAAGGGGGTAGGAAAGGGATGGCGCATGGAGGATGAATAAAGGACTTGGATATACAACCTCTACCCGTTTTTGTTTTTGTTTTTGTTTTTTAATTGTTTTTTCTTTACCTCGTAACCTTGCCTGCCTCCCCGATTTCTCTGCTCCTCCTCCACCTCTCTTCCCCCCGTTTTCCCCTTTCTCTCCGCTTTTCCCTCCAGCTCCTGGCTGATGGACATCCTGCAGTGGTGCGACGTTTGAGAATTCTCAAAAGCCCCTCCAGCTCTTGGCTCATGGACATCCTGCAGTGCTAGATGCCTCTTGAGTCAACCCAAAAGCGCTCCACAGCAAAGGCTCTCAACTCCCCTCCTCTTTCCCCAGTTCCCCCCACCCCAACACCCCCTCAGCCATGTTGCGCACGCCAATGGTGGGCATCATGGGGCGGATGGACGTTCTCCAGCGAACAGCCTCTGTTCCTCCCACACTCTACTCCATTCCTTCCCACCCCCTCCTCCCCCCCCCCCCCCCAACCCCTTGTGAGTAGCCACGAGCTGCGCACGCCGATCGCGGGCATCATAGGGCTGATGGACATCCTGCAGTGCGACGACAACCAGTTTCGGTGTTTCCCACGCTCCCCCCCACTCCCCCCCTTTCCGCCTCTCCCGCCGCACCTCTCTCCCCTCCGCCAGCCACGAGCTGCGCACACCGATGGCGGGCATCATAGGGCTGATGGACATTCTGCAGTGCGACGACAACCTGACGGCGGACCAGCTGGACATTGTCGCTCAGATCCACCGCTGCGCCATGGCGCTGCTCGGCATCCTCAACAACATCCTCGACCTCAGCAAGGTCTGTGCGACGGCGGGTGGGTGGGTGGGAGAGGGGGGCGGGTGTGTCCATGAGTGCGTGCGTGTGTGCCTAAGTGCGTGTGCGCCATGGCGCTGCTTGGTATCCGCAGCAGCATTTTCGACCGCAGCCTTGATTAGTGCCATGGCGAGTGGCTGGGAGGGTGTATGCGTGCGTGCGTGCGTGTGCGTGCGTGCGTGCGTGCGTATGTGCGTGTGTGTGCGTGCATCATGAGCATGCTCATCAACAGTCTTCCTGTGCCCCGTGCCCCGTCCGTGCCTGATGGCTTCAGGTGGAGGCGGGGAAGTTGGAGCTAGCAGAGGAGCGGTTCAACCCGGCGCGGGAGCTGGAGGGCCTGGTGGACCTCTTTGCCATGCAGTGCGCCTCCTCTGGCCTCGACATTGCTCTCGACCTCGACGGTATGTACGGGTGCGGGTGCGGCGGGCTGGCTTGTTGCTAGGACTCGCATGCTGCCGATTGCTTGCATGTGCATGCCATCCCTTCAATCCCCTCTCACCTCACCCGCCAAACAATCACATCTGCACTGCACATCTCATTCCCCCACCCAACGTTCCTCTGCAGTACGCTCTCAGGCTCCGACCCTCTTACACTCCCTGTCCCGCTCCCGTCTTCCCTCTCCCTTCTCCCCTCTCCCCCCCATGCCTCTCAGACGACCTGTCAACAGAAGTGATCGGCGACGCGCCGCGATTCCGGCAGATATTCGCCAACCTGCTGTCCAACGCTATCAAGTTCACCCCTCAGGGATGGATCACCATCCGCGGCTACACTCAGCAGCTCGGCGCCTACCGCTCTGCCGCTGATTTAATCCCCACTCCGCGCGCATTCACGCAGCCTGAGGCGCCGCCTGAGTTTGGGTTTGACGCGGTGGGAGGCGGTGGTGGGGTGTGGCGGAAGGGCGGGGAGGGCAAGGTGCCTGCGTGCAGGTCAATGGGTGCTGTGAGCGAGAGGAACGGTGGGAAGGGGTGGGGAGGGGTGGAGGAGGCGGAGGAGGAGGAGAGGGGAGGAGGGGCGGTGGGGTCGGAGAAAGTGGTGCTGCATTTTGAAGTGGAAGACTCGGGTGTTGGTGCGTGTGGGCTGGGGTTGGCTGGTTGGTGCATGGGTGGTGTGGCTGGCGAATGGATGAAACAAAAGTGTTAGGCTTGTATGAGCTAAGGGGTTTGTTTCCTATTGTAACCAGCTGTGCCAGTGCTCTGTGCTGTGTGTGTGTTGTGTTGCTGCTGTATGCCTGTTGGTATACATCTTTGGTGGTACATGCACAACTCCTCATTATGGTGCGTAGGTCTGAAACGTGGGCCGTACTCACACTCCCATCTCTCTTTACCATACCCTCCAACGACCCGCACTCTCACAGCTACTTTTCCACCGTCTTTTCTCCTCTCGTAATTTTTTTCGCTCTCTGCTCCCCACCCAGGCATCCACCCGTCCATGTGGACACGTGTGTTTGAGTCGTTCGTCCAAGAGGACGAATCTACCACTCGCGCGTACGTTCTACCACACACACGCGCACGCACACGCACACACACTCAGTCGCACACACACCCCTGTTCGAACACATGCATCTCCACGGAAAGCCTTGCAGAGTCAACATCTGCTTCACTTTGGGAATTCCATGCTTTCCTGTGTCCCCGTCCATCCCTCTCCCTTGATTCCATCCCTCTTTTCTTGTTGAACCCAAAGCCCCTGATTAGCTCCCCAATTCCCTTCCGCTGTCTCCCCCTTCTTCCTTCCCATATCTCCCCTTATAACCCCACCTCTCTCCCCTCTTCCAACCGTGCATCGCGCCACCCTGCTCCGTGCAGCCACGGTGGCTCGGGCATCGGGCTGAGCATAGTAAAAGGCTTTGTGGAGCGAATGGGCGGGTTCATAGCCGTGGTTCCCAAGGACTCCCCCGGCACGCGCTTCGCCTTCCACCTCTGCTTCCAACGCCCCCCACCCGCCTCCCCTCAACTCCCCTCCTCCCCCCACGGCCTCTCCGGAAACCCGTTTCTCCCGAACGAGCAGTCGTTGTCGTTTCCCACCTCCCCGCCCACGCACTCGCTCAATCCCACTCCTGCCTTTGACCCTCTCTCCGCCTCGCCGCCTCACGCCCACGCATCGACCGCTGCACCATCACAGTCGCCCCCACGAGTTGCAGCAGCAGCAGCAGCAGCAGCAGCAGCAGCACCACCGACGGCACGCCGTGGCTTCCCCTCACGGGCGTCCAGGCGGGCGTGTCTGGCCCCGCCGCCGGAGCTGCGAGGGGTGCGCGTGCTGCTGTGTGTGGAGGACGCAGTAGACGTGGCCGTGGTGGAGCGGTGGCTGGCACGGCACCGCGTGCGGTCGGGGAGAACAGAGAGCACCAAGGAGCTGCTCGTGGCGGTTAGAGACTGGGCGGCCAAGGCGAGTCTTAGGCACAAGCAGCAGCGGCAGCAGCCGTGGGCGCAGGGGCAGGGGCAGCAGCAGAGGTTGCAGTCTCAGGGGTCGAACCCGTTTGTGGATACAAACGATGGGTGCGATCAGGTCGAGTCTGTGGCTGCTTGGAGTGCTGCTGCTGTTGCCACCGGTTCTGGTGCTGGTTCTACTGCCAATGGTGGAGGGGAGGACGAACCTTGGCAGAAAGGGCTGGAGCAGCAGCAGGGGGGGGATCAGGAGGAGGGGTTAGACGAGGATGCAGAGGAGCGGCTGCTTGTGCTGTTAGAGATTGAGAAGCTGCCAGGCATGGCGCAGACGCCTCCCGACGTGCCCAAGGTGCGTGCCTTCCTCACAAAGCTGCGCTCCTTCCAACCCAGTGGCGTCGTCTTTGCCTGGGTCCTCACTCCCGCCGCCGCCCCCTCCCTCCGCTCCACCCTCCGCGGATTCTCCGTCGTGAAGCCGCTTCATCCGGGGAAGCTGCAGCGCGTGTTAGGGCTTATGGTGCGGGGGTCGTCTGAGGGGGATTCTGAGGGAGGGATGGGTGTTGGGGACGGTGGGGATGGGTTGGGGGGAGCGGGGATGGCTGTGGATGGGTCGGGGATTCCGGTGCTGCGGCAGGAGTTGCTGGTGGCGCAGGGCACGGGGGTGCACCTGGCAGTGGAGGCGGCGCGTGCGGAGAAACTAGAGGCGGTGTGGGAGGAGCTGCAGCGCACGCACAGCACAGCGAGTACTGCCACTAACAGCATTGCGAACAGCGGCCCGCTCGCCCAACCACCTACTGCTGCTGGTATGGGTGGCACTGCAGCCAGTGCAGGTGCTGCTGGTGCGGGTACTGGTGGTGGTGGCGCTGGTGGGGGTGCTGCTGCTGGTGCTGGCGCTGCTGCAAGTGGTGGTATGCATGGTGCATCATCAACGTTCTCCCTGGCAGGCTCTGCATCCAGCAACCAGGGTCCCACCAGCCACGCCAGCCACACCAGCCACGCCAGCCACGCCAGTCACATGAGTCACAGCAGCAGCATAACCAGCAGCACGCTCTCCCTCTCCCGCCGCAACAGCTCCGCGTCCTTCGGGTCCGGCCAGCTGGAGATGCTGCTTGCCAGCGGCATAGACCTCGCCCACGACCTCCCTCCCCGGCCCCACTGGCCCCCAGGCGCAGGGACCGGGCTGCGAGGCAGCGGGGGCAGCGTAGGAACCGGAGGAGCCGGAGGAACCGGAGGGAGTGGGTTGCAGCGAGGGGCGTCGTCTGTGGCAGCGCTCATGTCCGGTGGGCTCATGGATGCCTCCCCCCGTCGGACTAGCTCCATGTCGTCTCGCTCGCCGCCACGGGTCTCTCCTCCTCGCACGTTGATGCCCATCCCGCGCCTGTCCTCTACTCCGCATGTTCCGCCGCTGCCTGCTGCGCGCGCGGGTCATTTCGCCCCCGTGCCGTCTGGAGGGGGGTATCCCCCGCCCGCCCGCCGCCTCATGACTGCTCTCTCCACTCCGCTTGACTTTGCTGCTGCTCTTGGCCTTGCCGTCCCTCCCGCCCCTTCTGCTGCTGGTGCTGCTGGTGGTATGGGCATGGGTGCCCCTGCTGCTGCCGGTGGTGCTGGCTCTGCTGCTGGTGGTGGTGGTGCTGCTGCTGCTATTGCAGCTGCCTTCCCTGCCCCCACCTCCCTCCCCCTCTCCCTTCTCCCCCCGATCCCTCACTCTGCTACCTCCACCACCCCATTCACCACTGCTGCCAACAGCAGCGGCAACAGTATGGGCATGGGCATGGGGATGGGTCTGGCTCCGCGCAGCTGGTCGGAAGATACGCCGTATTCGGACGGATCCTCCTCTGCTGCTCTCTCTTCCTCCACAGCACGCTGCCCGCCCACCTCCCTCACTCGCACCATGTCCAGTGCTGCAGCTATCAGAGCCCAGCTCGGCGCCACCCTCGCTGCTGCCACAGCCACCCGCGAAGCCGCTGCTGCTGCTGCCGCTGCCGCCGCCGCAGCAGCAGCAGGAGGAGGAGGGGGTGGTGTGGGAGGAGGAGGAGGTGGTGTGGGAGGAGGAGGTGGAGGGGGGTTTCCGGAGAGTAGAGCGAGGGGGTTGGGGCCGAGTGCGAGTATGAGCAGGGAGGGCAGTGGAAACATGCTTCGCCCGGCGACCCACGCTGGGCTATCAGGGCGGCCGCCGTTGGGGAGGCTACCAGCTCCTGGGTTGAGTCCACTGGGGCAGCGCATCAGTGCCTCATTCAATGTGCGTATGGTGGCTGCTGGTGTCAGTGCTGCTGTTGAAGCTGTTAATGCAAGCGGCTCCAGGAATCCCGGCGGCGGCGGTGGTGGTGGTGGTGGTGGTGGTGGTGGTGGTGGTGGTGGTGGTGGTGGTGGTGGTGGTGGTGGTGGTGGTGGTGGTGGTGGTGGTGGTGGTGGTGGTGGTGGTGGTGGTGGTGGTGGTGGTGGTGGTGGTGGTGGTGGTGGTGGTGGTGGTGGTGGTGGTGGTGGTGGTGGTGGTGGTGGTGGTGGTGGTGGTGGTGGTGGTGGTGGTGGTGGTGGTGGTGGTGGTGGTGGTGGTGGTGGTGGTGGTGGTGGTGGTGGTGGTGGTGGTGGTGGTGGTGGTGGTGGTGGTGGTGGTGGTGGTGGTGGTGGTGGTGGTGGTGGTGGTGGTGGTGGTGGTGGTGGTGTTGTTGGTGGTGCTGGTGGTGCTGGTGGTGGTTCTGGTGGGTTTGGTGTGGTGGGTGGTGCGAGAGCCGGAGAAGTAGCAGCGGGTACTGGCGTGAGTGGTGGTGGTGGCGGCGGCGGTGGTGGTGGTGGTGGTGCTGCTGCTGTGACAGCTCCTGCTGTAAAGTATTTGAGTGCTGCTGATCTGGCTAATTCTGATGATGACGATGATGATGATGATGATGATGATGATGATGATGCTGGTGCTGCTGGTGCTGCCGGGCGCATGGGGATGCTGCAGCGAGCAGAGGGCTCAGCAAGGGATGCAGCACGGGGGGTGAGCGAAGTCATGGTGGAAATCAGCCAGTCTAAGGGCAGGGCGGAGGCAAGAGGGGAGAACAAGGAGAGAGGCGGCGGCAGCGAGGGAGAGAGAGCGGAAAGAGCAAACGAGGTGGTAAGGCCGTCAGTGCGAGACGCTGTGAGGCATTTTGAGGAAGCGGTGAGGACGACTGCCGGCAGCAGCAGCATCAGCAGCGGCGGCAGCAGCTCCTTTGGTGCTGCGAACACAGGCAGTGCCCGCAGGCCCAGCAGCAGCAGCGGCGGCATTGGTGCTGGCAGTGGGAGGATTGGCAGCGGCAGGGGGAGTGTGGGGGGTTTGTCGGCAAGGGGTGAAGAGATGGGCAGTGCGCGAGGGGGTGATAGGGAATCTGTGGGCATGGCAGAGGGGGGAATGAGGAGACCGAGGACGAGTGAAGGATGGGGGGAAAGAAGCCGAGTGGAGGTAGAGGAAGGGGGGGCACCGTGGATCGAAGGAGGTGAGAGAGGATTGAGAAAGGTACTGAGGGGTTCTGCAGATGGGCTGGACGCAGAGAGGGGAGAGATGGAGGATGGTGAGATGCGGCACGGGGATATGGGGGCCGAAATTTTGGAGGTGGGTCGGGCAGGTGGCATGGAGGGGGAATCGCGGCGGGAGTTTGAGCACGAAGTGAGATTCGACTCTCGTGCTCTGATGCAGAGTGGCCCCCGCACGCTGCAGCGGCAGCAACTGCCAGGGTTCAGGGAAGGGCTGGGAGGACGGGTAGGGGGAGGGGGAGGGGGAGGGGGAAGCAGGATTGGAGGGAGTTTCAGTGAGAGGAGAACTGGTGGAGGAAGCTTCAGGGAACGAGCGGGGGTTGGAACAGTGGGAGGGAGCTTCAGGGAAAGAGTAAGAGTTGGGGGGAGCTTCAAGGAGGGGGAAGGACAGGAAGGAAGCTTCAGGAAGCGAGTAGAAATCGGTGGGAGTTTCAGGGAGAGAGCCATGAGGAGTTTCAGAGAGAGAACGGCAAGCTTTAGAGAAAGAGAGGCAAGATTAAGAGAAAGAGAGGAGGGCAGGAGCAGCGGCAGGGAAGACGGGGAAGGGGAAACGGTGCGAATGAGCAGTGCCGAGTGCGTGGGGAGCAGCGGTTATTATGAGCATGATTCAGTCGCCAAGGATAGCAGCAGGCGCTTCAGTCCCTTGGGTGGGAGTGGGAGTGATGTGCGCAGCAGCAATGACGCAGTTGATGCAACAGCTGATGGTGCAGTTGATGGTTCTGCTGCTGCTGCTGCTGCTGCTGCACTGGATGATCTTGCTGCTGCGGCCGCCGCTGCTGCATTTGGTCCTGCTGATGATGATGATCCCATACCAGGACTATTCTCTGACAGTAATGGTGTAAATAATGTGACGAGACGACTGTCTTTTGAGAGGAGTCCGAGGCCATTGCTGCGAGTGGGAGCAGCAGAGGAAGCAGGGGGGGTTGGTGGGGCGATAGGAGCGGGTGAGGAGGGATTGGTGAGTTTAGAACGGCTTCCAGAGCTGACTGCTGCTGCTGCTGCCGCAGCTGAGACTGTAGGGAAGGGGAAGAAGGTGCGTAAGGTGGTGAAGGGAGCAGCGGTTAGTGGCAAGGGATTGACAGGGAGGGTGAAGGGGGTGAAAGGGGGGAAGAAGGGGAAGGATGATGATGCTGGAAAGGAGGTAGAGAAGGTTAAGGGGAGAACTGTGGGGAAACCAAAGGGCAAGGGATTGGGGAAGGGGGTGGGGAAAAGAGCAGCAGTAGGAGATGAATGTGGGGAGGGGGTGGGCGGAGTGAGTGGGTGCAAAGTGGTCAAGAAGGGTGCAGGTGTTTTGAAGAGAGTGGGGAGCAAAGGGGGTGGGAAGAAAGGCAGGGAGGGCGGAGGAGGTGAGGCTGATGGGGAGGGTTCAGCTGGTGAGGGCGTGACCTGGACGGGCAAGTCTGAGGGCAAGGTAGGGAAGGGAGGGGTAGTGAAGAAAAAGAAGTGTGTGAAGGCGGGGGAAGCAGGCAAGGCAGGTAAAGCAGGGAAGGCAAGGATGACAGGGGTTGTAGAGGGGCCAGGGGAAACAGGCGAGGGAGAGAAAGGGGGGAAAGCGGGAAGGAAGGTGGTGAGGAGGAAGAGAAAGGGAGTGAGTGCTGCAGTGGAAGGTACGGCTGCTATGGAAGATGATCATGCAACTGCTGCTGCTGCTTCTCCTGCTGCTGCTACTGCTTTCACGCCACCCCCTCCTGCTGCTGCTGCTGTTGCTGCTACTGGCGGCAGTGGCTGTGCCAGGGATGTGGGTCGAGGCGATGACAGGGAATGCGGTTTGAGGGTGGAGGAGAGGAATGGGACGTCAGCAGTTGGGGAGTGCACGCCAGCAGGGTCTGTGTTTGATGATGGGAAGAGTGCAACATGGGTATCAGCACAAGCAAATGTGGCCCCTGAAACTCCTCGACTTGCAGCAGCAGCAAAACCGAAACCGCCATCAGCAGCAGCATCACCACCATTAGATTTGTCTGTAGCAGCATTGGAACGAAAATCGCCCGCAGAAGCAGGAGCACCAAGATCACCAGGAACAGCATTATCAGCAGCGGCGGCGGCCTTAGCAGCATCACCGGTGACAGGAGCGGCAGCAGCCACAGTTCTGAAAAAAGACCGGCTGCGAGCTTCAGCAGCAGCAGCGGCGTCAGCAACAGCAGCAGCAGTGGCTGCAGCAGGAGTGGGTGTGGGAGGGCCATCGAGCCTTGACAATTTCAAGTCCTTGGAAACCCCTGTTCTACGCTTTGTCAACTCTTCCTCCTCTCGCTCCATGTTCAAGAGCCAGTCTGCCTCCTCCATCCCCCTCTCCTCGCAACTCACCTCTGCCGCTGCCCTCGCTTCCACCTCCACCCTCACTCCCCGTGCTGCCGCGGCTGCACCAGCCCCCTCCACGTCTTCCTTCTCCTCCTCCTCCTCCAACTCCTCCGCCTCGCTCGCAATCCCCTCGCCGAAAACGCACCCCCCCACTGCTCCGTCGACACCGCAGCGCACCGCACCACCCCCCCGCAGCCCCACGGGACGGGGGCAGCTGAATGGGAAACCCCTGAGTAGTCTCCGTCTGGGCGGGTACTGTGTTCTGCTGGCAGAAGATACCATGGTGATGCGGCGCCTGGCGACAATGATGCTGGAAAAGATGGGAGCGGCTGTGGTCGCAGTGGAGGACGGACAGGCAGCGACCGAAGCTGTGGTGGAGAGAGAGAGGCAGGTGGCAGCAGGGAAAGCAGAGCCGTTTGATGCGGTGATAATGGACTGCCAGATGCCAAGGATGGATGGGTACGGGGCGACGAGGTGGATTAGAGCGCGGGAGAAGGAGGTGGGGGATGGGAGGCATTTGCCGGTGGTGGCGCTGACGGCTCATGCGATGGCGAGTGATCGGGAGCACTGCTTGGCGTCGGGCATGGACGCGTATTTGACCAAGCCAGCGAATGCAGCGCAGCTAGTGGCGACGCTGCACAAGCTGGTGAAGAAGGTGCCTTCATGAGAGGTGGCGTGTGCTAGGAGAACGGAAGGAAGGAAGGAGGAAAGGCTGGGCTGAGGGTCTTTTTGAGTTGACTCATACGTCACCTGGTGGCGACGCTGCATAAGCTGGTGAAGAAGCTGCCTTCATGAGAGGTGGCAACTGCGCCAGGAGGAAAGGAGGGACGCTGGGCCAAGGCTCCCCCTGTACGGCAGTGTGTTTCAGGGGCGCCGGCTGCTTGGTTGTGAACGTTGTTTCAGACACTGGAGATTGGCAAGCTGTGCATCAGGCGCAATGCGGTGTTGGATGTCGCAACAGCACGGGGAGTGATTGTCTTATCGAGGTTCGTGGCGCAGTCCATGTGTGTGCTGTGTACCATTGTGTTCATCTTTTCCTGGGCTGTTACATGTGTCATGCTTCTTTTCAATCATGAGCTTTCTTCTCCCTTTCTCGTCGCAATAGCTCATGCCCATGACATTTCTTCCCCCAGTTTCTGAACATCACAATGTAACTCTTGTTTTTCAAAATGTGGCGTACATTTTCTCTCCCCCCTCCATTTGTTCTATTCCAGTCTTCCTTCCAGTCTGTAAGCAGCAACAATTCAGGACTCCGAAATCACCAGTGTTAAAGTGGTTTGGAACACAGGTGCGAACTCAAAAGCACATTGTACATGTATGTACCGTTACCAATATATTGCCAACTGTCATGCATGTTTCTAACATTTATATTCCAAACAACTTGTCACGCAACATTGTATGCGAAACAACCTAGTATGCACAAAGGAACCTAAAGGATAACAATTTCATCGGATGCAACAGGTGGAAGGAGCAACTCGTGTGCTCAATGGCTGCTTCTATCGCCAGTATCAGCTACTGGGCAATGGAAAGGCTAAACCCAAACCTAGTCGCCCCAATGCCCTTGTCCCTCTGCTCCCCTCCCTGCGGCTGCTGCTGCTGCCCAGCTGCACCGTTGTTGAATGCCTTGCTGGTGTCCACCTCTGCTGTTACACTCATAGTCGCCCCACCTCCCAGGGTGTGCTGCATCAGCAGCACATTGCACAGGCAATTCACCGCAAGGCATAGTACGGGCACTACAAGGTGACAAGGCAGTGAAGAGAGTGCACTGTGGTGGTGCAGATGCTGACGATGCTGATGGCAGTGGCAGTGGTAATGCATCAACAACTGCAACTTATCGTGCTAGAGAACAGCAACGATTCCCACCCACACCCGCACCATAACCCCGCCGTGCCCTCCCTACCCCACTCTACATGCAGCAACACACCAAGGTCTCACCTGACACACTTATCTCCTGCCCCTTCTCTCTCATCACACACTCACCTGCAGCCAGCCGTGGAATAGCCCGTTGCTGTTGAATTTCCCCTTGAGCTGGGTCTTGTCGTCCACCTGGTACTTGAGTGCATACGCCACGTTGTCTTTGCTGGAGTCTTTGAGTGCGCGCTGCAGGTACAGCCCCACTGCCAGCTTCTCATCCACGTCCTGAGCGTACTGCAGGTGCACCACATCCCGGACTTGCATGTCGAGGTATGCGGCTGCTGACATGCGCCCATGCGCCATGCCTATGCCTGCGTGATCACAGGAGTGCAATGGGAGATGAGTGCGGCGGAACAGAAGGATCGGCGGCGGCGAGAAGCTAAGAGTTTAGTGCTAGGGACAGCGAGGGAGTTAATGCGGTACGTTGTGTGAGAAGCCTGGAGGAGGATAATCCACGCCAATGTAAAACTATCCAAACCAATCCTGACGCTGTCATACTCTGTCGAATCATCTCTCTCACCCGCATTCGACTTGATCAGGTTCTGCGAAGCCGTATCATACGCCACCTCGCCGCCCACGCACACCCCGCCACCAACACCACCCAGCGCCAAGCTGCTCGTGAGCACGGGTTGCGTGCTGAACGTGGTCCCGGCCGACGCAGCAGAGTACTGCGTGCGGTGCGTGAGAGTGACACCATGCGGCAGGCTCGGTGCAGTGCTGGTGTTCACGGGCGGGCCGAGGGAGATGGTGGAGGCAGCTGCGCGGGGAGGGAACTCTGCTGCCACTGTCGCGGAAAGCCCACGCGCCATCTCCGGGACCTTGACGCTCGTCTGCACGGCGTGGTAGTGGTTGGAGGGGAAGAAGAGCCGAGGCAAGAGTGGGGACTTCAACGAATATGCACTTGGGAAACATTATTCAGGAATTGGAGTGTCTGGTAGCGAGCGAATAAGAGATCCGCCCGTTTGGGAACCCACCACACCAGAAGGAGGGCCGGAGTGTAGCGCCACAAGAAGAAGACGACGAAGAAAAAACCTTATCAGCAACATCCACATGCACATACTCATGCACGTGCACAATGTACTACAGGCCATCCAGCAGGCTAGACAGCAAATTACAGCACCGTACAGGCCTGAGAAGGCAGATCTCACCGTGATCTGCCCAAGAGAACTCGCGGACACCTGGCACACCGCGTCCCCCGGCAGCGGAACCGTGGCGGTAACAAGCCCCATCACGAGCTGCTGCACCTTAGTCACCATGGTCGTCAGCGACACGCTCCCAGGCGCCACCGCAGAAAGCGCCACCACTTGCGCCGTGGAGAAGCCCTTGCTGAAGAGATCCTTTGACGCCTGCCCCATCTCGCTGAACATCACCGCGGACGGCGGCGACGGCGACGCAGCGGTCGCACTAGTGCCAGTGCTCGCCGCGGGCTTGGCCTTCCCGCCTGCAGCGCTGCTGCTGCTGCTGGTCGTCTTGCTCCTGGCGGCTCCCGTGTGAGAGTCACCGCCGGCGCCTTCTCCTCTGCCCCACCACTTGGGAGCTGTGGACGAGGATCCATTGGTCGTTCCTCCTCCTCCGGTCGCTGTGGATGGGGCAGACGCCTGCGTCGTTACTACCGCCACTGGGGACCTCCGGTGGGTCTCAGACTCCATGATTCCGGCTGAAAGAGAAGTGGACCGGCTATGCCGAAGGTAGAAAAATGAAAACTGAGTGCTAACAGAAGGGCTGGAATTCACGAAGCGTGTCGCGTTGACAGGGAAACGGATGGGAGGCCCTCTTTCGCTTGGAAACGAGGAGGAGGTCCGACGGAAGCGCAAACCTCGCCTTGTAGGGCTATGGGCGAGTAGGGGGAAGGGCTATGGGCGAGAATATTGGAAATTCCAATCGAAATTCACGAGGAATTTGTGGGCGATCCGCTGTGGGAAAGTAGCCGAAGCGGTCACGAAGCGACAGCAACTGAAGGCGAAATGCAGTCGCGATGATGTTCGCCAGGTGGACGAAAAAGCGCATGCACCTGTGTGGCATGAACACGTGTCGAGTCCACCTGCTCAAGGAACACTCTCTATACTCTTACCCGATACAAGTATAATTCTGACAACCTGACTAATTTAAACAGCCAGTCTATACTGGTACATGCGTTTCAATCCTATTTTACATATTAGGATAGTTTATAGTATTAAAAATATTTTTTTTAACTGAGGCAATGGCTAAGTTAAGAGGTTAAGTCGAGCTTGAAAATAAGTAGTTTGCTTTTGCTTCATTCTGTACACAAATCGCTGTGCTACACCAGTGCCCATATAAGGTAGAATTCTGACTTCAGTTATGTTTTCCTTTCTGCAGTGGCTGCATAGGTGCCTTCCTCCAACTTCCTCAAGCTCAACAAGGCAAAACTGAAGAGGACAAACCGAACAAGGATCTTCAGGTTGTTGGTGGTCTTCAGTTATTCAAGCAGCACAAGTTTTCGTACAGGTGCCCATGCTGTTGATCGGAGTGGGTTTATGGAGAAAGAAACATTTCTCCAGTCTGAAACCGTTTTTTTTTTATATTAAATCCCGTTCTTTCACTCACCATCCACACTCACTCCCACAGTTTTACAATGTTAATCGTGTACTTCATCCTCCCCTAAAAAAAAAGTACTCTCACATCCCCCCCCACCTCCCCCCCTCAAACATTTTGAAGGTTGTTGCAAGTGGCCAACCTTGTTGGAAGAGGACTTTCAAGGGCCAGTGGACGATGATGAAGCAGCTTTTTGTGGTTGGAAACGACATAGGGAGCTCCCAGCTGACTAAATCGAGGGCTTGGCCCACGGCAGACCAGACCAGTGTAGAGAGTGTTGTTGTCGTGGCTTGTCGTCACGATGACCCAAGTGACACACATCACCTTCCCCGTCAGGATTCCAGTCGACTCATCACATCACCTTCCATCCATCCATCCATCCTCTCCTCAGTACCAGTGGAACAAGTGGGATTCAGACGAAACAAAATTGTGAGACATTCCCGCTGCTGGAACCAACAGAAATTTCGGCTCGACGACAGACAAACCAGTCAGCAGTGTACGGAAAAAAAAAAAGCATTTTCAAGGAAACCAACAAGGCATTTTGCAATGGTTGAACTCGTCGTTCCGTTTACAAGTATCATTCGAAGTGTAGTCAACGGGGGTGGTGCAGCAGCAGCAGCTGCTGTTCAGTGGTCGCCATCCGCGTCTGGTTCTTCATCAGCAGGTCAACTCCTAATCGGCGCGGTTTGCCTTTGTTGTCTAGGTAGAGAATTTTGGAACAATGCATCGCACGACCACGACCACCTTCCACCAACAGTCATCTGGTCCTCGCATCGGCACTTCAATACCCATAGCGCTAGGGCGACACTGGCGACGGAGACTCTCTGAAGAGTCACATCCTCCTCGCCGAGCAGTAATTTTACGCCATGGAGTCTGCACAGATCCCGCTATCTCCGTCACACTTTCTCTCTCCGTCCCCCGGAGCATACCTGTGGCCGGTAAGCCCCCCCGCGTTAGTCTTCGGTACTAGCTCACCGCAATTGGGAGCTCAAGGGGGTCAGCAGCAGCGTCAAACGCAGTCGCAGCAGCAGCAGCAGCACAACGAGCAGCGACGGAGGCCGAGGGAACCGAGGCAAGGGCACAGGGCGGAGAAGCAGAATCTTGGGAAAAGCGCAGAGCCTCCGGAAACCGGAGACGCAAGATGCGCAGCTGCTGTGTTGACGTGTGAGATGCAAGGTGATTCCAGAAGTAGCGCCGGAAATTCTTCTGTTCGCGCGGAACCAAGCGGAATGACGGCGGAGCCCAGTAGTGGAAACCGGAGCCTCTCCACTGACCGCCAGCGCGGGCGGAAAGTGCGCGGAGGCGGGAAGGCGGACGGGGATAGGGCTCGGGCGGGGTCAAGCGCAAGGTTGGTGGCAGGAGGCACGGGGGTGGTGCAACACGCGGAAGAGTATTTAAGAACCGCAGACTCCGCGGAACGAACCACATCATTGTCCCCGTCAACCACCGTCAGAGCGTCTGTCAGTAACCCCAGATCGCGAGCGCCTGGCGCGTCGCGGCATAACCGCGGAAGTGCGGCTCCAGGCTCAGGAGCTGGTGCGAACCGTGTAGGGAAAAGCGCAGGGGGAAGCGCAGGAGGAGGCGCAGAAGGGGGATCGGGGGCAAGAGACGGGTCGGAACCTCTCGGGATGGGTATGCGGTACGTTCAGATGCTGAAGTGCGGAGACGACAGCGAGGCCGACTCGAAGCTTGTACCCGCTAGTAGCTCCGCCGCCGCGATCAGCTCGATCCCCGCTAATGACAGTTCCGTGTCTCGTCGCAGAGAGCGACGCGGAGTCGTCTCTCGGCGGCGGTCGTCTGACTCAGGCGATTCGAGATCGGGAGGATCCATCGCTGCTGCCGCTGCTGCGGCGGCCGCCGCGGCCACGGCAGCCGTTACCGCAGTAGGCGACGATGATGGCGATGAAGACGATGGCGACGCGAGACTAGGGTTTCGTGACTCGTCCTTGGCCGGCGATTTTTTAACCAGAAGTTTGGAAAGTCTGCCGCGGAGAAGGTTCGGCGGGATTAGGGAAGATACAGTCGCAGGTGAGGATGGCGCTTCGTCAAGCGGCGGCGGCGGCGGAGGCGGAGGATACACCGCCGCAGATGCCTCCCGGCCGCAGGGCTGGAGCAGCCAGCGGGACGGGCGGGCGTTGCGGAAGGACCTCTCGGCGCAAGCGCAAGCGCACGGACAGACGCAGGCGCAAGGGCAGGCGCAACAGGGTAGCACAGGGAGCGGCTTTAGCAGAAGCAGCCTGGGCAGCATGAGTTTTGGAAGCAGCTACGGCGGCGGCAGTTTTGGCAGCAGCAGCAACTGCAGCACCAACACGAGCGCGAGCAGCAACAGCGTCAGCAGCAGCAGCAACGGCACAGCGCATTACGTGGCACGTGGATCGAATATAGTGGTTTCGTGCGGCCGCGGCGGCGATGGCGGCAGCAGTCCGGGTAACTCCAGTCCCGCGCAGCTGTCCCCGCAGCGCTCCCTCTCTACGCTACGCCAGCAGCAGGTCGTAGGGCCGCCAAATTTCCGCCCCAGGTCTCCTCTTCTCAGCGCCGCAATTGCTTGCCCTAAATCCCCGTTATTGGCCTCCTCGGAACCCCGCGCGGGGTCTCCTTCCGCTCCGTTCAGCCCCGCTTGGGAGGAGCGTGCAAGGTCCCCCGGTCCTGGCCCCGCTGATCACCGCCTCAAATCGCCTCTTTCGCGCGGATCCTCCGCGTTCCGCTCGCCTTCTGCGCATACAGACCCCTCCGCCTTCCGCCTGCACTCCCCTTCCCCCAATCCTCTCCCTTCCGCACGCCTGTCTCGCCCTGTTTCTCCTCTCCCCGGGCCTCTTCGTCCGCGATCTCCCCTTCCCGAGTCCGCCCGCCCCCGATCCCCGTTGCTTGGTTCCGCCCGACCTAAATCTCCGCTCCCCTTCATCTCTCCGCGCAACTCCGAGTTCGCATCGGCGCGAAACTCCCCCGCCGCCGCTCCTTCTGCTGGTGTGGCTCGCGCAGGCACCCGCGGGTCCCTTAGGACTATCCCGCGCAGCAGCAGTTGTCGCAGCGCCAGCAGCTGCGCGCAGGACGAGTGGAGCGACTCTGGCGCGGAGGAGGAGATTCGCGCTTCCGCTTCTCCCGGTTCGCTTTTTATCGCGCGTCCTGGCGCCCGTTCCGCCGTCCGCCCCACCCCTTCCGCTTCCGCTTGGGATTCCGCGCAGCCCGCGCCGTCGAGTGTCAGTTCCGCCCATTTCAGCGGTTTCACTGGCCCCGGCAATAGACGCAGCAACAGCAGTCGCAGTAGCGCCAACGCCTGCGCTCAAACACCTCCGCCAACCACCTCCGCGCGCTGCCCGTCCCCATTGCGCCGCGCGTCGAGCTCCGCATCCGCGCTATCCTCGCCTTCCGCGCCGTCACGTCCCCCCTACAGCTCCCCCCAGGCGCAGGTTGTGGGGGCCACGAACGGGGGAGACGAGAGAGCGACTGGGGATTCGGAGCGGACGTACTACGGGGAAGCGGAGGACGAGGGGGGAAGCGGGGGAGTGCGCGCGAACCTGTCCGCGGACTGCGGGAGGCGGGGGCGACTGGCCGCCGCGGCTGCAGCAGCACGGGCGGAAGTGGCGCACGGGATAGAGAGCGCGAGGCGAAGGGGGAACGGCGCGGAGACGCGCACAGGCGGGGGCGTGGGCGGTGGAGGGGGGATGGCAGCAGGGGGGGGAGCAGGGGCAGTGACCGCGGGGGATTTGGGAGCAAGAGGGGCCGCGTGTGGGAAGGTGGCAGATAGATGTGGTGGTGGGGCGGGTGCAGCAGGCGGTGGGGTGATGGACCTGGGGCCGCCTGGGGGTGGGCGAGGTGGCGTGAGCGGTGGCGTGAGCGGTGGTGTGAGTGGTGGTGGGGGGCAGCAGCGCAGGAGTTCACTGGGCCTTGTTCCACGCATGTCTCGCTCTCTCACCACCACCTCTGCTTCCTTCTCCGCTGCTCGCTTCCGTGCTGCTGCTGCTGCTGCTCGCGCCGCTGCCACTACCACCAGCACCGCTACTGCTGCTGCTGCGTCTTTCTTCTCTCCCCCTCTCTCTCTCGCTTCTTCCCCAATACGGTCAGGAACCCTTGGGTCTGCCTCTGCCTCTGCCTCGGCGTCTGGTGGGAAGAAGCTGCTGCACAAGCGAACGCTGTCCATGGGCAATCCGCGCGCAGGTCGGTTCCACACGGTGGAGTCCGTTCTGGGGGTACACGCCACGTGGCAAACGGAGGAGGAGCAGCTGAAAGCGCTGCTGGCGCTGGTGGACGGCGGGAGCGGGGGAGGGGGAGCGCAGGGGGAGGGGGACGGGGACGGGGGAAGGGGGGAGTGTGGGGAAAGGCGCAGGGGAGCGGCGGGGGGTGCGGGGGAAGGGCATGAGGCGTGTTTGGCCGCGCAGGATGAGGTGCTGATGAGGCGACTACCCTCGGCTGCTGAAGTGATGGAAGGAGGGGGGAGAGGAGGAGAGAGGGAGATGGGGCGAGGGAGAGAGACGGGGAGAGGAAAGGGACAGGGAGGAGGGGGAGAGGTGTGCGGTGGGGGCGGTAGGGAGCGGCAGGAAGGCAGCAGCATGGGAGGGATGGGGACTGATTCTGGAGGAGTGGGTTTGATGGGTGTGGAGCAGGGACGTGGGGATATGGGAACAGGTTTGCAAGCATCCCCGTTAAGGAGAAATCCGAGTTTGCCTGCGACGACAGGAGGAGAGCAGGTGGTGGGATCGCCTGTACAGGCGTCCTCTCCTTTGCAGATGCGGGCATCGCCAGGCGCTAGGCGAGCAGATGGGTGGGACGCGTGGAAGAGCGGTGTGGGGCGGTACTGGGTGGGGGAGGTATTGGGGGAGGAGTTGGAGAGGGGGAAGACTCCTGAAAGGAAAGCAGGTGGGCTTGGAAGGGCGAGAACTCCGGAGAGAGTGGGATTGGGAGGGGTTAGAGCACCTGAGTGGGCACGAGGGGGAGAGAGGCCGAAAACACCTGAGAGGGGAAAAACACCTGAGAGGCTGAAAACACCTGAGAGGCTGAAAACTCCTGAGAGGCTGAAAACACTTGAGAGGGGAAAAACACCTGAGAGAGGAAAAACACCTGAGAGGGGAAAGGCACCGGACAGATTGAGATTGGCAGAAAGAAGGGTGCCAGAAAGAGCAGCAGGAGCAGGAGCACGAGCAGCAGAGGCAACGGGTATAGAGGCTATGCTATTGAGGATAGCAGGGGTTGCAGATGGGAGCAGTGAGTGTGCGGATCGTGCAGGAACGGGCAGGGTGGGCGAGTCCAAGGAGGATGGGAGCGGCTGTAGTGGGGAGTCGCAACCCCATGGCGCTGCGCTACCCTCTCAGAGGACACACCCAGCAGCCTTGCTGTCTGCTGCTGGTGGTGCTGAGAGGGGGATGGGGGAGGGGGAGGCGGAGATAGACGCGGAGTGTGATGCGGTGTCGGGGGGATGGACGTGGCAGCATGGTGGCTGGAGCGAGCGGTATGGTGGGGTGGGCGCACATGCCTCTCATCATGCTCACAATGCGGATGATGCTTATGCTGCTCATGATGCCTGTGTTGCCCCACCTGCTGCTGGAGGTCCCGTGAGGTCCTCCTCTGGTCTCGTACATGTGCGATATGGTATGGATGGTGGGGATGGTATGGGTGGCACGTATGGCCTGCACGATTCTGACAGGGAAGAGCAGGGGGAGGAGCATAAGGAGTGGGATCTTGCGCATGCGGATGGGCATGGGCATGGGCATGGGCATGGGCGTGGGCATGGGCATGGGCATGTGCATGGGCATGGGCGTGGGCATGGGCATGGGCATGTGCATGGGAGTGGGAGTGGGGATGGGTGCTCAGAGGGGCATGAGGAGGCGGTCACGGGGTTGTGGCACACGGAGCTTGCATCAGAGGATTCAGAGTCAGGGGGCGGGTTAAGGCATGAATGTGCGTGTGGGTATGCGCATGGGTACGCGCATGGGTATGCGCATGGTTACGGGCTTGCATATGGTGAGGTGGAGGATTATGAGGTAGAGTTGGTGGACCATGAGGAGGAGGAGGAGGAGGGGGAGGAGGAGGAAGATAGGTACATGGATCATGGGGAGGCAGAGACAGAGAGTATGTGTTATGAGGAGGAGGAGGATGCGGAGTGTGTGTATGATGGGGAGGAGGAGGATGCAGTGGGTATGTATCACGAGGAGGAAAACACTGATTACACGGAGGAGACTGGGAGCGTGGAGGATAGACACGGGAAGGAGGAGGCGGAGGAGGAGGCGGAGGAGGAGGCTGAGGAGGAGGAGGAGGGAGACGTTTTCAGCGGGCAAAGGAGTGGGGGGGAGGGAAGGGAAGGGGAAGAAGAGGGGACAGTGGAGGGAGGGGGAGGAGTTGAGGGCCAGCCAGATCTAGGGAAGAAGAGTCTGAGTGCGCCTGCTGGGTCCTTGGCTGCTTCTGCCTCTGCTTCCGTGATTGCTGTAGGGCTTCAGCAGGTTGGTGAGGAAGGGGGCTGGGTGGAGAGTGCAGGGGACGCAGGAGGAGGAGAAGGTGAGGAGATTGGGAGGGGAGGGATGGTGAGGAGGGGAGAGGAGGAGGATGAGGAGGAGGATGAGGAGGAGGATGAGGAGGAGGAGGAGCCGGAGTTGTTGCGGCGGAAGAGCTTTGGTGGGCGGATGGGTGCCAGCTTTGGCGCGCTGCTGAGGAAGAGCAGTGAGTTTTGGTTTCCTCCTTGGTGCTCCTTTCCTGCTCCTTTTGAGGCTTGCTCTGAAACACACTCAGCACGCAGCACACAGCACACAACACACAGCACACAGCACACAGCAAGCAGCACGCAGCACGCAGCACACATCACCACAGCACTGAAGCTGACCACTCGCCTCCTCTCTCACTTGCTCCTCCTCCAACTTGTTTCTTGTCTTCCGTGCTTCCATGCATCCACCCCTCTTCTCCTCTCCAACCCCCACAATATCACTTTCACCCTCTCCCCCTTCTTGCCACATTGCCACTTCCACCGAACACACACCCCTATCTCCCTTTTCTCTGCGTTCCCTCTCCGAGTGGAGTGGGTATTGCAAGACCCTCTCTTATGGCCTTCTCACCCAATTCCTCTCTCTCCCCCTACACTCCACTTTCCCCCCTCTGCACCCCCCACCCCCTCCCCTCCTCTCCCTTCCCCCTCCTCCTCCACCCCACCACCAGACACGCTAACCAAGATGGAACGCAAGCCGCCCCGCCCCTTTAGAGACATCCCAAAATTCTCTCTGCCTGCTCTCCCCTCTCTGTCCTCTCCCCCCTCTCTGTCCTCTCCCCCCTCTCCCTCCCATCACCACCAGACACGCTTTCCAAGATGGACCGCAAGCCGCCCCGCCCCTTCCTCGCCGCACGCACCCCCCCGCTCCGCTCCCTCACCATCTCCCGCGCAGCCTCCGCGTCCCGCAAAGCCGCGTCCTCGGCCTCTCTCAAAGCCGCATCCGCGATCGCGCTCGCCACCACCGCAGTCACCAGCCTCGGCCGCTCCGCATCTCTCCCCTACGAGTACGAATACAATGGCATCAACCAGCCCAAGCGCGTGCACTTCCAGCTGTCAGAGCTCCAGCTCGCAACCAACTACTTTTCCAAGGAGAATATCCTCGGGCAGGGCGGGTTCGGGACGGTGTATGGAGGCGTGCTGCCGGCGCCGCCGTTTGAGGAGGTGGCGGTGAAGGTGCTGAAGAGAGGGTCCGTGCAGGGCGACGGGGAGTTTGTGACTGAGCTGGAGCTGCTGTCGCGCACGGCACACCGCCACCTGGTGAAGCTCATGGGGTTCTGCATGACCACCACGCAGCGGATGCTCGTTTACCAGCTCGTCGCGAACGGGTCGCTCACGGACCACCTCACAGGTGTGTGTGTGGGTGCAGGGGTTGGTCTGTGTGGGTCAGTGTGTGTATGTGTGCGTGGGGGGGGGGGGGAAGAGGGTAGGGGAAGAAGGGAGGGTGCTGCCAGCTCCGCCATTTGAGGAGGTGGCGGTGAAGGTGCTGAAGAGAAGATCCGTGCAGGGCGATGGGGAGTTTGTGATGAGTTGGAGCTGCTGTCCCGCATGGCCACCTGGTGAAGCTCATGGGGTTCTGCATGACCACCACGCAGCAGATGCTCGTTTACCAGCTCGTGGGCAACGGGTCGCTCACGGACCACCTCACAGGTGTGTGTAGGGTTTGTCTGCGGGTGAGGGTGTGGCTATATGCGTGCGTAACGGCCTTACGAGCACCCTTTTATTATTGAGATTGAGACCTTGTGCACCGCTACCTCGTGCAGCTCATGGGCTTCTGCATGACCACCCACCACGCAGACGATGCAGGTTTACCAGCTTGTGGCCGCAAACACCCACCCACCCACCCACCCATCCACCCAACCCACCTGCACATGCGTTGCCGTTGTCCCGTTGCAGGCAGCAAGCTCAGTGAGAACGGCCCGCTGCCGTGGGAGCGGCGGCTGCGAATAGCCATAGGAGCCGCCAAGGGCATCCGCTACCTGCACGCCCAGCGACCCCAGGTGCCCTGCCTTGCCCTGCCCCGCTCTGCTCTGCTCTGCTCACGTGAATTGAGTCGAGTTTTGAGGTGCCTCAAAACTGGACCCCAGGTGCCTTGCCTTGCTCCGTTTGCTTTTCCATCGTTCCCTCTTCTCCCTTCCACCCCCCATCTCAGTGCACCTCTTTTCTCCCTCCACCCGGTCTCCCACTCCCCCTCTACCTCGGTTCTAGTTCCCCCCTACCTCCTCCTTATGCATCCTGTCCCTCCCCTCGTTTGGTCCATGAAAGGCATGTTTCTGGCTTCCTGTAGTTCTCTTTTGCGCCTCCACTACCCGCTGTTCTGCTCTTTTCAAATCACTTTCTGGCTTCAGTGCCGCTTTCGTTTGGTCCCCGCGCTCTCCGCCTCTCCGCCTCTCCTAGCCCCACCACTCCGCCTCTCCTAGCCCCCCCCACCACTCTGGCCACCCTTCCCATCCTCCCTTTCCCCTCCTCTTTCCACTCCTCGCGTTCTCTGCTCTCCTAACCTCTTCCCACCCCACCTCGCGCCTCTCCCCTGCAGATTCTCCACAGGGACATCAAGGCCTCCAACATCCTCCTTACAAACAGCTTCGAGGCTAAGGTAAGGCACAGTCTCTTCTTCCTGTCCGCCCCCACCTTCCATCCAGCACATGACGTAATATTCTAGAGGCTTTTTGCTTGCAGCGCTACTGGTAGAGGAGGGAAGGGGAGGGGAGGGGAGGGGAGGGGAGGGGAGGGACGGGAAGCTGTTCTATTCGCCCTGCCAGCCCAGTGCCCTTTGTAGTCTCCTGTCAGTTACTCTCGCTCACGAGAGACAACTGCACTCTCAAGGGTGTCAAGTCTCCCCACTCTCCCCCTTTCCCACACTCCCTTTCTCTCCTGCCCCTTCCCTTCCCAATCTCCCCCTCCCCCCTGCTTCCCCCTCCTCAGGTGGTGGTCCTGATTGCGCCAGCAGCCAAAACGCACTCAAGAGTTTCATGTCTCCCCACTCTCCCCTTCTCCCCACTCCCCCCCTCTCCCCACTATCCCTTGCTCCCGCGCGCTTCCCTCCCCTCTTCCCTCCCCCCCATCCTCCCCCCCCCCGCAGGTGGCGGACTTTGGGTGTGCAAAGCTGATACGGGGCACGGAGAGCGTGGTGAGCAAGGCGACGGGGCTAGCGGAGGAGCGGCTGGTGGAGTTTGTGGACCTGGGCGTGGGCACCATCGGCCACATGGCCCCCGAGCTGCTGCTCGAAGGGGAGATCAGCGCCGCCTCCGACTGCTTCGGGTGAGTGACGCTGCTGGGGGGGTGGGTTGTGAGGTTGGTGTGGGGTTGCTTGCTGTTGACTAGGAGCATATGGTGATATCAGTAGCACCATCGGCCACTTGGCACCCGAGCTGCTGCTCCAAGGGGAGATTAGTGCTGCTTCTGACTGCTTCAGGTGAGTGAGGCTGCTGTGGGGTTTGTAAGCATGCGGTTAAGGTTGTGTGTGGGTGTGGGTGTGTGGGTGTGCATCGCTTCACAAATGGCTGTATGCATCTCCATATGCATTCACCTTACCTTCTCCTTCTCCCTCTCGTTCTCCCTCTCGTTCTCCCTCTCGTCCCTCCGGCCTCCCTCCCGCTCCCTCCCCCTTCCTTCTCTCCCTCTTCCTCTTCCTCCCTCTCCATCCTTCCCCCCTCTTCTTATCAACCTTTCTCCCCCCGTGGGCTATCACACCAGGTTCGGAGTGGTGCTGCTGCAGCTGCTCACAGGCAGAGACCCCGTGGATGCCGACAGAAGGCCGCTCGTCAACTGGGTACGTACGCACAACATCCCTACCCTTCCCACTGGCTGGCCTACTGCAGCAGCAGACCTACTGCTGCACACAACCTACTGGCCTGGCCTCCACATCCCACAAGCACCTTTTCCACTTCCTCGCGCACCACATGTTCACATCCCTCTTTCACTCCAAATGTTCTCCATCCTCCCTCGCCTTCTCTCTCAACCCCATGCCCACTCCTGTTTCCCCCTGCTCCCCACCCGCATTTTTTCCCACCCTCCCTCCTCGCTTCCCCCACTTGTCTCCCCCTCTTCTCCCCCCTTACCCCCCTGTTCCTTTCCTCCCTTTTGTCTGCCCCTCGCTCCCGTCTCCCCCCCCATAGGCGCAGCCGTATCTGGAGGAGAGGTGGTGGGGCGAGCTGATAGAGCCGTTCCTCTTGGAGTCGCGCCCGCCCGCTCGTCCCCCTTTTCTCTCAAGCCTATACCTGTTCCTCTCCCCTCTCCCTTTCTCCAACCAACCCACAACAGGCGCAGCCGTATCTGGAGGAGAGGCGGTGGGGCGAGCTGATAGAGCCGTTCCTATTGGAGTCGCGCCCGCCGGCCCGCCACAACTCCTTCCACTCCTTTGCGCTGCTCGCGCAGACCTGCGTCAGCTTCGACCCGCTGCTGCGCCCGCCCTTTGACCTCGTCGCTGCCACTCTCGAGCGCATCCTGCAAGGTTGGTGCCGCCGCCGCCGCCGCTGCTGCTGCTGCTGCTGCTGCTGCTGCTGCTGCTGCTGCTGTTGCTGCTGCTGCTGCTGCTGCTGCTGCTGCTGCTGCTGCTGCTGCTGCTGCTGCTGCTGCTGCTGCTGCCACCTGCTGTTGCTGTTGCTGTTTCTGCTTCTTCACTCCAGCATTTTAGGTCGCACAAAACCAGGCCAGGCACGAACAGGCCTTCTCGAAATGTCCTTCTTAGCCCTCTCTCTGACCTCTCACTCTTATTATTTTTTTCCCCCTTTCTTTGTTCTGTGTGCTCGGGACCCATCCCTTTAATCCTCTCATTATGCTCCGTCTTCCTGCATCTCCTCTCGCTCACCCCCCTCGTCCCTCTTATCCCCTCGGGAATCCCACAGCCGACAAGGAGAGTGCGCCATCCATGCCACCACAAGCAGTGCGCCGCTCCCACTCACACTCTCCATCTCACCCAGCGGCGCATGCCCACTCCCGCTCGCACTCCTTCTCCCGCTCCGCCACCACATCTGCAACCAGCAGGGGCTCTCCCCAGGTTGTCTCCGCTTCCTCCTCCTCCCACCACAACACTCACCAGCAACAGCAGCAGCAACAGCAGCAGCAGCAGAGAGAGGCAGGAGGCATTAGCAGGTCATTGTCTAGAAGTGGCAGCGCCCCCTGTCCGGGTCTCGATGCTGCTCCTGGCGCTGCTGCCGCTGCTGCTGTTTCAGGGCTGGCAGCTGCTGGAAATGGAAGCAACGGCACGAGCGCTGAGAAACACCGTCGCAGGAAGAGCCGTGGTGGCGGCGACAGCACTGGGCACAGCAGGGCAAGCAGTAGAAGCAGCAGAGGCAGCATTGACGCTGCTGATGGAGCGAGAGGCGAATCAGCAGGTGCTGCAATGTTTGCCGCTACTCCCTCTGGCACTGCAGCTGGTGTTACCGGACCTAGTGTGCCGATTGCAGCAGCGGGCGCAGCGCAATCGCGGGCGGAGGAAGTGAGGCGGCTGATGGCTCTGGTGGAGGAGGGCAACAGTGAGCGGATTGAGTGGGGTGAGACGCTCTCTCGTGTCCGTGATGGCACATCTCAGCAGCAGCAGCAGCCGCAGCAGCATGCGGGCTGCGATGGTAGCAGCAGTGGTGTTGATGGTAGTGTAAGTAAGTCTATGAGTAGTGGTATCAGCACTGGCGATAGCACCAGTTGCAACGCTCCTGCCGGTGGTAGCTTAGGCACAGGTTTGAGTAAGCATAGCCATAGTGACTCCACTGCTGGAAGCTTGGAGTGTGATAGCGGACTGGTTGCAAATAGAGAAATTAGCAGCAGTAGTGTTAGGTCAGGTAGCAGGGACAGGAAGAGCAGAGAGGGCAGCAGGAAAGGGAGCAACTGGAGCAGGAGTAGCAGCAGCGGCAGCCTCACCACCACAGTCACCAGTGGTAGCAATGATAATAGCAGTGGCAGTAGCAGGAGCAGAGGCAGCAGCAGCAGCAGCAGCAGCAGGGACACAGGCACAGCTACCTCTGTACGTAGAAGCTCTAGTTTGTCCACCAGCAGTGGCAGTAGGAGAAGCAGCAAGGTGGGGAAAACCACAGGTGAGCGATCCGGTAGCAGCAAGTGATGATGATGGGGGAAGGCTGAGTTTGGTAGGAAAGAGACGGAGATGATAAGGTGAAGCAGCAGGAGGGAGGAGGAGGAGGAGCTGCAGCATCAGCCGGAGCATGACCGTGAATGTGACTTGCGAGGGAGGTGATAAGAAGCGGCCACAATAACGAGCCGCATCAGCTGAGGGGCACCTCCATAAAGGACATGTTTAGATATTGATAGAGACCATATCCATCCAGGTTTGCTGATGGATCAAAATTTATCAGCACTTTCGTGTTGGCGATAGCAGGCTGTTATGGTAGTGCGCATGATTGTATATCTACTAGCCTAGCCAGCCTTTTGTATTTATAGGATTTGTGCAGGATATTAGGCTTGTGTGCATGTACCTATGTTGGCTTCTGTTGTGACATTGTTTGCTTGTTCTGCTAATCGGAATCTGTTCCTTCCTTGCAGATGATGAAGCCTACGTTTTTATCGGATTCATTATTCCAACATTAATCCACAGGAGACGTATTCTCATAAGGGGGTACCGTACCACTGTGTACCGGTACAAAATCTTTATTGTGTTTTTTACTTGAATGTTTTGACTTGACAAACATGCATGGCGCTGTGGTCTCTGGTGCTGCATGATGGGGAATATGGGCTGGTGCCACGTCAGTTTCTTTTCAGCAACCGTGTCAATTCCATGGCAAGCGTCACCTGCCCCATGCAAAAAAAGAATTACGAACGTATTTTCCTCGGGTCAGCAAAAGAGTCTTCTAAGGACTCCGTTCAAACCCCACACCTTTGCGGGACTGCAAAACACTTTTGGTGTAAAAAACTGGAATTTGAGTTAACCCGAAACATTGAAAGCTTTTCCTGAACTCCAGCGCTGCAGAGACGCACACGGTCACGTGCCGCCTTCGGGGAAGATGAAGGCCAACCCATTTCACCAGCGCGGGGCGGGGTTGCACTTGCAGCAGCCACGATGGGCGCGGGAGCAGCGCCTGCAACAATATTTTTTTGCGTGTGCTGTGGACCCCGAAGCGCGACGTTTTTGCGGCGTCCTTCCCGGCTACCTTCGCTACTTGGCTCAAATCGCCTCGCCTCCTCTCTTCGCTTCTACAAATATCACCTCCAACGACGGCTGTCCTTGGAGTTTGTTCACCTCCTACTGTTACCTCTCTTTCTGACTCTTTCGATCACAAACGCTCACAAGCCTGTCATACGAAGTCTACAGAAACGAACCCTAAGGGCGTCTTTCAGCTACTCGCTTCTTTCCCTCGTCGTCGCCCTCTGATCATCCGGTTTTGTTTAGAATTAGCGGCTCGTTTGTAATTAATATTTTGTTCCGTCGACACCAGTTACATACATCCGCAGCGTTATGTCAAATACTCTCGAAGTGACAGGTACGGATACAATTAGTCACATCCGCACCCCAGAACTTGACTGAAATAGTGATTGAAGGGGCAGGCCTGCATCCCATCCCAATCCGCCTGCGCCTCGTCTGACTGAAATCAAAGAAGCGTTTCGTGCTCGGGTCGCGGTTCGTGTGAACCGCACCACTAATAGCGCCAGAGTACCGCAGCGCCTGTTCTTCGTCGTTCGTAGGACATCGCTGCATGCTCAGCAACCCAGCAATAAATACTCTGAACCGGCCTTGATTCCTTAAGCGCGGCAACGTCTGATCACAATCAGCTTAATCCTCGTGCGCCCCGACACGCGTGCCACCCGCACGCGGGTTTTTCACTCCTCCCTCTACCTCTCCGCTTCTCCCCCTCTATCTCTCCCCCCGTCTCTTCCGCCTCTCCGCGTCTCCCCCGGCGTGCGCGCAGTGGTGGGCGGAGTGGGGTTGTCGGACAAGGAGCTGTTCACGCGCCAGGACCCATACGTCGTCCTCGAGTACGGCCAACAGCGCTTCCGCTCCAAGACAGACATAGGTACCCCACACGATTTTTTAGGCGCCTCGAAAATCAAAACACGCGCCAGGACCCCTACGTCGTGCTAGAGTACGGCCAACAGCGCTTCCGCTCCAAGACGGACATAGGTACCACAAACGCTCATCGCATCACATCGCATGGCATCGCATCGGGATGGCTCAAAACATCGCATGCTGTGGGCATGGCGCAGCGCAGCTTAGCGTAGCGCAGCACAACTTAGCGTAGCGCAGCACAGCTTAGCGTAGCGCAGCACAGCTTAGCGTAGCGCAGCACAGCTTAGCGTAGCGCAGCACAGCTTAGCGTAGCGCAGCACAGCTTAGCGTAGCGCAGCACAGCCCCGGTAGAACAAGAGCGCGCTGCTTGGCACGCCGGGCTGTTGCCGTTCTGCTTTCCCCCTTCCTCTCTTCCCCTCCTCCCCACGCCCCCTCTTTCCCCGATCGTGATCGTGTGCATGTCGCTCTCTGTCCCCATGCCCTCTGCCCCCATCCGCGCGCCAGACGGCGGCACGAACCCCGCGTTCAACGCCACGTTCACGCTCTCGTTGCTGCCGGGTCTCAACGAGCTCTGCATCGTCATCTGGAACGAAAACGTGCTGCGCGATAACGTCATCGGCTCCTGCAGGTGCGCCTCCCCTCCCCTCCCCCCCTCCCTTCCTCCCCTCCCCTCCTCCCCTCCCTTCCTCCCCTCCCTCCCCTCCCCTCCCCTCCTCCCCTCCCCTTCTCTGCTCTTCTTCCCCTTCCGCCCCTCTCCCCGTCCCTCCGCTCCACTCTCCTCGCCTCCGCTTCCCTCCGTCCACCACCCCTCAAACATCATCATTCCGCCGTGCATGTCATGACGTTTCAATCCACTTCATTCCCGCCTATCCAGGTCTACCTTCCGTCTCCGGGCGTCAACTGTTCCTCTGTGCTGCTCCCCTGCGCGTCTCTCTCGTCTTTTGCCGTGCCCCTCTCTCCCCGGGCAGAATAGCGCTGGATAGGGTGCTGTCGACGGGCTTTGAGGACGGGTACTTCCCCGTGTACAACAAGCGACAGCAGTGAGTGCTCTCGCACACACACACGAGCAACATGGGCTAGGGAGAGTGCAAGGTCTAGTCACAGGGACAGCGTTTGTGGCAGGCAGGCGGGCAGGCGGGGTGGGGGGGGCGCAGGTGGGCGGGGGGAGAGGGGGCGGGCGGGCGGGCAGGCAACCAGGCAAGCAAGCAACAAGCAGGTTGCGTCTTTTGCTGGTGTTTAGCATGTCACGATGTCATGAGCAGGCAGGCAGGCAGCCGCGATGATGCCTTGGAGGCCACTGTGCTGACAGGGGGTGCTGCCTGCCACTCGGAGCCACTCAGACACCTCGCATCTCCACTCCACCCCCTTTCATCGGGCCCGCTTTCATTGTTCCGCTCAAGCAACCTTCTCTCTGCTCCGTGTCTCCTCCTCTCCCCTCCCTTCTCCCCCCTTTCCGCTGATCCCCCACTGCCTTTCCGTGCACCCGTGCAGCCAGCATGGCTCCCTACGAGTCGTTCTCAAGTACCGCCCTCAGGTACGCCCTCCCCATTCGCCACTCTCCACGTCCCTTCTCCCCACCCACCACTTCCCACTTCCCTTCTTCCCACTCCCCACTCTCCTTCTCCCCGTCTGCCTATCTCCCCTTCTCCTCTTCCCCTCTTTCCTGCCTCCACTGTACTGTCATGTCTCTCGCTTGTCCGTCTCTCAGTTCAGTTTCTCTATTACCCTATCTGGTCACAGCATTATGAGGCGTCTCAGAAGTTATTCACTCCCATCGGGTCACAGCCGCTTGCACCTCCTCTGCACACATCACTTGTTCCACCCACCATCCACTAACCGATCCACACAACCCTCCAGCCATTCCATTCACCATCCATCCCTCTCCCCCTTCCCCTTTTCCTCCCATTCTCTACCACCCCCTCACTCCACCTCCCACGTCCCCTCATTCCACGCAGTATTCCCCCTCGCCATACCCCGCATCAACCTACCCCCCACCGTACGCTGCTCAACCGCCCTACGGTGCTCCTCCTGCCGCCTACCCCCAAGCTACCCGCCCCAGCAATACCCACCGTCATCCTACCCTCCACCTCAGTCATACCCCTACGGCCAGTCTCCTTACCCTCCCTCGTACCCACCTGCACAAGGGGGGGCGTATCCCTATCGCTGAGCTTCTGTTTAGGGGGGGTACTTGCATAGACGTTGGCGCTGTTTTGGGTAGGTGGTAGCTGCGTACTGTACAGGCCATACTTAAGAGTTAAGTTAGTCATCATTTTTGTAGCCTAGCTTTATTCAATAAATGCTCCATTTTTTTTCCTCAGCAGTGTACTAAAGAGAATCTGCTCATGACATGTCATGTTATTGTGCACAAGGGTTCAGCCATACTTAAATCCAAGTAAGGAATTAAAATCATACCGTATGATATTCTGAAATTCAAGAATTCAAACATTTAAATTTTCAAGAATTTACATATTCAGAGATACGGTACATATATTCATGGAATCTGGAGCATAATCTCAGCATCCCAACGTCAGGCGAGGTCAGGCGAGGTCAGGTAAAGTCAGGTAAGGTCAGGTGAGATCAGGGGGCATCTGCGCCAAGTGCTCCACAACAAACCGGCAGTTACTCTCCGACTCAGGCTGCGCCACGAGCGTGCCATTCCCCAGCATGGCGGCAAACATGGCAAAAGTGCTGATATACCGCGTGAAGCTCACCACCACCGACGGTTTACTCAGCATCAGAAAGTCGCCCAGCGTGCTCAGGTGGCTGCCCTGGGACAGGGACTTGGACAGGTGGATGGCCGGCGCGTTGGAGAAGAAGACTCGCCCGAACGGGCGCAGGAATTTGACTATGGCTGGCTGGACTTCGTCTGTGCCTGTGGCGATGAAAATGGTGAGGAGCGGGAGAGGGGGGCCGGGAGGGGGAGGGGCTGGGGAAGTGGCGGTGGGGGGTAGGGGAGAGGTGGGAGGAGTGGTGGTCGTGGTGGTGATGGCAGCTATTCGCATCGACTCTTCTACTGTCCATTCCTCCTCCAGGCGCCTCCGTTTTCCTGCACTGCTGCTGCTGCTGTCGCTGGCGCTACTCATGGTGGGGTTAGTAGGAGATGGGGCAGATGGGGAACTGGTTGGAGAGAGAGTGGGGGGTGCAGCATGGGGGGCAGAGGCTGGGAAGGACTGATTGGGAAGGGAGACAGCAGGTGCAGGGCTTGTGGTTTGGCTCAAACCACGGGAGGAGGCGTTTGAAGGGTCAGGGGGACTGGCGCTGGTACCAGCACCAGCGGCTGCTGCTGCTGCTGCTGTTCCTCCTGCTTCTTCTGCTGCAGCGGAAGCACTAGCAGTGGCATCCCCACCACCCGCACTATCAGCAGCCGCATCAACAGAAGCAGCAGAAGAGAGTAGAGCGGCGGCTTTCTTGATGCGCAGGAACTGGGCGAGGCGAACGATGCAGTGCCAGCGCGAGGGGCGCAGCAGGCTCGCCACTAGCTCCTGCTGCTCCCGCTCTTGCTGCTCCTGCTGCTGCTGCTGCAGTTGCAGACAAGAGAGGTCTCCGTTCGCGCATCCCAGCTCCACTTTGCTGGGTGGGGGAGGGGGATGGGGAAGAAGGAAGAGGGCACTTTTGAGACGTCTCGAAAGTCTTGCTGCTCCACCCAAATCGACCCGAATCGACTCTCTCTCACTTGGGGCGCCTTCGCACGTGCAGGGCGAGGTCAAACTGCATCCGCACCGCCAGTCTACCTACCCTGGCGTATTACTTTACTCAAAACCTGTTGACATGAGCCTTTAAGTCGACCCGAATCGAATCTCTCTCACCTGGGGCGCCCTCGCACGTGCAGGGCCATGTCAAACTGCATCCGCACCGCCTGCCCTGGCGGCACCTTCTCCATCTCCCAATGCTCCTCCTCCTCCTCCTCACCCATCCCCATCCCCACCCTTCCTCCTCCCACTCCCACTCCCGCCCCCTCCCCTCCTTCCGGCTGCTGCACCAGCGGGAGCGGGCGGATGGACCAGAGGCCCTTATCGAGCTCGCGCTCCAGACGAGCAGACGGGCCGTTGGGCAGCAGCAGCGCGAGCGTCTGCGCGTGCACGCACCAGATGGTGGCGCAGCGGAACGCGGCGAGCACGCAGCGGTACACGCGCTTGTCCCCGCGCCAGAACTTGTCGAAAAAGGACCCCGTGAAGACGGTGAGGACCGGGGAGGTGTCGAAGAGGCCGTGCAGGACGAGGTCGTCGGCTTCCAGGAGGGGGAGGGGGAGCGCGAGCGAGGTGACGGTGAGCTGGTCTGTGGCGCATTCAAAGGCATCGCAGAGACGGTCGAGGACCTGAGAGGGGGACACAGCAGGGGGGAGGAGAGGGGAGGGGAGGGGTGAAGAGGGGGAGCAGGAAAGAGTGGTTTACGCGCGTCTGACTTTGTGCAGAGAAAGGTGGTGTGTGGGGTTTGAGGAGGGGGAGAGGGAGTAGAAGCATATAGAGAGACATGCAACAAATGACCCAGACACCCGTGTCAAGCAGGTGCAAGGAGGGTACAGCACCAGGAATAAGGAATGGGCAAGTCGAAAAGTGGGGCCTGTGAAAGCAGGCACAAAACAAGGCACACTCCCTCTCCCCATTCCTGGAATTGTGGAGGGAGAGCGAGGACTGGGAAAGCCGAGCATGTGTGTGTCTCTCCCACTCACCCGACTGTGCGGCCCACCGTGCCAGCGCAGGAAGCGGCGGCCAGAGAGCAAGGCGAAGAGCAGAGCGGAAGAGAAGCCGCGCAGGGACGTGCCTCGGCACCCACACCAACCACCGCTCTCCTGCCGCCGCCGCCGCCGCCCCTGCAGCACTCGTGTTGCTGTTGCTGCTGGCTGTTGCGAGCAGAGCCCGCAGCTGATCTTCCGTAGCGTTTTTACCCGTGATGGTGGTGGAGAGGCCGGCATAGGCGGAGGGCGGAAGCAGCTTGGCGCAGGAACGGGTGTTCTGGTGGGGGGGAAGGTGGGGGGAAGGTGGGGAGGGAGGGGGGTAAGATAGAATGGAAGAGAATGGGAGGGCGGATTGTGTGGGGGGCGGTGAGGTGACAGGATGGAGTGGTGGCGAGGGCGGCTGGTGAAGTGGGTGAGCAGAATGGAAACTGAGAACATTACACTCCAAGGGTGCTCTGCGGTCCTGTGCTGTGCCGTGCAGTGCAGTGCGATCCGGTGCGGCCAAGTGCGGTGCTGTGCGATGCTGAGCAAAGGGCATTCGCCACGAGCTGCCTTGCTGTCGCGTGGGCCAGACCCACTGGTACTGCTTGGCTGCTGGTGAGATCAGATCCTCCTGCCGCCCAGCCTCGTTCACCCAGCTAAACGCCAAATCTGCTGACTCGTCAGGTCCCTCCACCCACCCTTCCACCAGCTCTCGCCTCCTCCCCCCACTGCTGCTCCTCCCACCTCCTCTCCTCACATCCTGCTGCCCTTCTTTCTCACTCTCTCCCACCCCATCACTCTCAAATTCTCCCCGACTTTCACCCTCTCCTCGCTCCCAACCCTCTCCTTCCCACTCCTCCCCCTCAGACTCGTCACCGAATCCACTGTCGTCGCCCCATTCCTCTGCCCACCAGTCCTGAACCCACACCCCACTGCTCCTATTCATTCCCCCTCGTCCCCGTGCCCTCGTTCCCCTTCCATTCCCCTCCTCCCCTGGCCATTCAGCCGCTCCCTCCTTTCCCCTCTCTTCCTCCTTGTTTTCCCGTCTCGTCGCCCACCGTCCCCTTCTCCTCGATTTGCCTCTTCAGCCTTTCGTTCCGCTCCCGCCACCCTTCTCCCTTCCGCATTCTCCTTCCCCTCCCCCCGCCACTCCGTCTGCGGCTTGCGTGCTCCGCCAGTTTCGCTGTCCGCCGCTGTTCCGCCAGTCTCTTTCCCCGCAAATTCCGCTTGCACGTCCATGCGAGACCCGCGGCGTGCCCGCCATTGGCTCCGGGATGCGCGGGGCCAATCAAGACGTGAAGGTTTGGAAGGCGCCTTTTGGCGCGGAATTGCAGGTCCTTCGGCGGGGCTATTTTCAGAGCTAATTCCGGAGGTAATTCCGGAGCTAATTTTGGAGTTAAGTGGATCTGTTCCGCGGGATTCATGTAACGAGCCGGTACGCCGGGGTCGGGAGTCGGCGTGTTCTGCGAATGGCGAATAGATTTGCGAAGAAGGGAGCTGGTTACCTGGAACACCATTGCCAGGCGACGAAGCAAGGCGAATCGGGTCGTGTGAGGCAACTAAGAGGCCAAGGAGCAGCAGGAGCGATGCAATACCGACGGAGAAGGGAGGGCGGACGAAGAGGCCCCAGCTGAGTTAATTGAACCGGATGCTATCACAGCCATGGTCTGCAGTTGCGTTGGTTGTTGATGGAGCAATAGTAGCAGCTGGGTGATGGATGGATACTACCGCCTTTGTGGCTGCTTCTCTTCTCTGGGCTGTTTGGTAAGACGGATGTGGGCCAGGCCAGCTGGCTCTCTTCCGAACCTTGCTGATCAATGGGTAATACCCGCTTTTGGTGTCTTCAGAAAGATAAAAGGTGCAAAACAGAACAGAGAAATATGTATTTTGCGGAATAATTATGTGCAGAGATGTCTTGAGCCCATTATTGAGTGTTTTTACTAATAATGATATTTTTTAAAATCATGATTTCTAATTAGAGTCAGAAATAATATTCCGGCAGCAGAATTTGCTGTGCAGAGTCTTTTCTTTGTTACTTTGGTAAGCTTTCCCAGGTAACAATGCGTTCATAATTGTTCACGAGTGATCTTATATAGCGCTCAAGTGTGTTCCGAATATCCATTTCACACCCTGCAGACCCAGAATCTTGGGATAATATGTCACAAGTAACCATCATGTTACTCAATAACGTGAATGGTAAAAAAGTAACGCGTACGGTCACTGTATCGGGTTTGCTGACGGGTTTGGTAAGTGGGGTCACGGATTCAGTCACTAACAACAGGTAAAAAATCACGCGAATGCTCACACATGTAACTCCCGCCAAAAATTCCTGAAACTCTACAAAATTCCCGTTCGCTACCAACCAATCAGCTAACTTCAAAAAAACTAAAACCCAATCGGAATCGGATGCGGTTTGGGAACGGATCAGCCCTAAACACCTGGCGGATCATCCGAAAATGCATCCAGGTTCGTTTTGGGTATTATCTTTTTTGGGCGGGAGTTTCATCTGTGACCATTCGCGTTTTTTTTACCCCGTGAAACGTTTTATCAGTCGCGTGAAAACACCCTTTCCAGTGAGCGTACCCTTTTTTTTACCAAAAATGTTATCGAGTCCCATTATGGTTACGAATGGCATAATTTCCCCTACAATCTTGGGCGAGGCGACCATGCGATGTCTCACCGGACCGGACGACGGTCCCACCGCTGCCTAAACCAAACCACCCTGCCACCGTCACCCAGCCACTCGGTGCGCTTCCCGCCAACGCGATACTGACCCAGCCACGCCACTCCACTCCACCACTCTGCATTGCGGCGCTATTTTTCCGCCAGCCCTCCCCCGCTGGGTCGCTTCCCTTTCCCCGCACTCTTACCGCGCAGATATCAGGGCGGAAAGCTGATTGGGGTGGGGTGGGGGAGAAAAATACTGTAGGCGGGAGGGGAGCGCTCCAGTCGCGCAACGGTTGCAGTGCAGTTGCGCACTTTATATCCGCGTTCGTTTCGTTGCCATTGTTGGTCGTTGAGTTCCCGACGTGTACCAGATTTCCACATTTCACTTTCCGCTCCTCCTCACTCTGCTCACCAGCAAAAAGGGGGTGTCGTTGTCACCACTCCATTTCTCTCGCATCCCAGCTGTCGCCTTTTTGGAAGCGTATCTGTTCCGCTTTTTTGTTTACTTGTCCTAGTCACACAAGTCACACACCGGCCTTGCGTTCCGATCCAGATCTAATAGCGCGCTAGCTTGTTCGAGCTTTTGCTTCTTCTTTTTACCTTCCAGCAACCTTTCGATCTCGAATCTCGCCAGCACCCACACGGGCAATCCTTCGCACGCGAAGTCGTGACATCCCTTGCGCAATGGCCTCTACCAAGGGGCTCGTCCCCATCACGCGAAGTTTCCTCGCCGCGTTCTACGCGAAGCACCCGTTTGATCCTCTGGACGACGACGTGGAGAAGCTCTTCGCTCGCCTCACGGAGCTCAGCGAGGCAATCGATGCCAAGCGCGTCGCCACAGAAGGTTCGCTACAGCCTCGTCACACCTCGCTTAGCTGTTCTCACTTACTAAATTCCATCAAGTAGGATCTATCCGTCCGTAGATTTATTGGCATCTGATAGTGATCCTCAGCATGCTTCGATGGTGGAATTTTTTCTCCATTCTGTTTTTTCCCTTGCTAGCGATGTTCCCGGTTCGGACATGGCGCTGCGGTAGGTTTTAGTTAACTCAATGCTGATTAAAGGTGGTAGGATCTAGTGCAAAATGAGCAAGGTAATGTGAGTTCGAATCATGCATTTTTCACCATTCTCACAAAATAGAATCGTCAGTGGTTTATATTTTCTTTTTTTAGAAGTCGACCTGCTTTATCTTCAAGAAGAGGCTTCCTTGGGCTCTTCAAATAATTATCCATGAGTTTCGCGCATCAAATTTGGAGGGCAGCGTAAATCTTTTCCAATGCGAGCAGCTGGAATGCAGATCTGGCAATGAAGTGTTTTGGTGCATGATATCGTTCAGGCGTGTACGAATATCGTGGATCCCTGACATCAAATCTATTCTCGTTCCATCGCTTATGCATATCCGTATGCATGCCTGTTAATGTTCGGGATCTCGTCTGTGCGTGCCTGCGTGTGGATGGGCGTGTGACTTTGCTGCACAGGCGAAGAGAAGGGACTGTTAGCCTCGTTATTGCTCGAGGCGCCGCACAAGCTTGACGAAAACTTCTGGAAGAATCGCGAGCAGATCGAGGAAATGCTTTTTCTTCTAGATGATGCTCAACTGCCTGCGGCGGTAAGCACTGCTCTACTCTCTCCTCTTTTCCGCCCCTCCGCCCCTTCTTAGAAAGAAACCTCCTTCGCTGTGATGTCAAAGATCGTCGTACCCCTACTCGTTCCGTCGCGCCTCGTCGTGCGGATTTCGCTACTGTAACTCGTTTCCTCTCGTTTCTGTCCTCTCGTTCCTGTCCTCCATCTTGAACCCGCGTACGCTGTACCCCCCCACCCCCCCACCCCCCCCCCCCCCCCCTCCTTATCTTTTCCGTAACCCTTCCTTCGTTGTTGACTCCTTCCTCCTCCGCGCGCTCGTGCGCGTGCTCGTTAATCTCTCGCGCGCGCGCACGCTTGCGACCCCCCCCCCTCCCCCTCCCCTCTTCCCCTCTCCCCCCCTCTCCTCCTTTCATGTGCACGAAACGCCAGGTTAAGGCGGGCGAATCGCCGGCGGGGAAAGCAGCAGCGGAGGCAGTGGGGAAGTGGAAGGAAGAGCTGCAGACGACGGTGGGCTTGATCGAGAAGTTTCAAGAAGTCACCAGCGAACGCATCACCAGCATGGGTATGATATCCTCTTTATTATTGATGCGACTCGATGTAAGGATCGCAAGCTTGGTCGTGTGATCGCTCCCCACAAGGACAGTATGATATTGCTTGTTATTAAGACCATACCAGGATAGAAGTGACTTTGACCCCACCCTTACCTCGACTGCACCTGACAGTTTGATCGCCCTCTTGCGCCGCTCTCCCCCTCCCCCTCTCTTTCCGATTTCTTTTCCCTTTTCTTGTTCTTCCTCCTTCTCCCTCTCCGCTCTCCCCCCCCCCCCCCCCCCCATCCCCCATCCCCGCTCCACCGCGCCCCGCCTCGCCACGCGCGGCGCAGTGTTCACGTACATGCCGCAGGACTTCCGCGGCACGCTGCTGAAGCAGCAGAAGGAGCGGTCGGAGGCGCGGCGCAAGCAGGAGGTGGCGAATCTCGTGAGCAACGGCGGCACCATCAAGCAGAAATACGCGCTGCTCTGGCAGCAGCAGATGGACAGGTGCGCTCTCCGTGCGCGTGTGCGTGGGTGTGTGTGGGGGTGCGCGTGCGCGCGCGCGTGTGTGTGTTGCGCAGTACGGGGTGGCGGAACAGGGGGGCGGGCGCGGAGGGAGGGGAAGGGATAGGGGAAGGGAAGGGGAAGGGATAGGGGAATGGAAGGGGAAGGGGAAAGGAAGGGGAAATCTTGCACGACGCGTGGGGGAACAACGCATTGCAACACAAATAGCAGCACAGATCGCAACTTGGACTCGAACATAATGAGATCCCTCTCCCCTCGCATCATCAGCTTTTCCTTTCCTCTTCGCCGTCTCCCTCCGTCCCTCTTCCTGCAAACCTCCCCCTGTTGTTCCTCCCCTTTCCTTCTCTCCTTCAAGCTTTTCCTCTTACTTGCTCAACCAGTCACTCTACCTGCCTCCCACTCCCTGCCCACTTCCGCTTTCCTCAACGCCAATCCCACCGTCTGTCACTCATCTTCTCTCTCTCCCTCCTCCCTCCCTCCCTCGCTCCCACTCTTTCGCTCTCCCCCCTCCCCTCCTCCCGCTCGGCTCGTCCCGTCCGGTGCATGGGCACCAGGCGGCACACGCTGGCGTCGCTGGGAGCAGCAACGGGCATTTACCGTACGCTTGTCACCTACCTAGTTGGCGTGCCACAGGTCAGCTCAACCTCTCTCTCTCTCTCACTCGCTCTCCCCTATACTCCACGCTGCCGCAGGCCGCTCCTACCCTCCCTTTTCCTCCGCTCCCTCTTTGCCGCTTATCGTTCCTCTCCGCTCCGCCCCTTTCTCTCTCTCTCTCTGTCTCCAACCCCGTTCTCGTGCTCTTTGCTCCAGGTCGCTATGCTTTGTTCTTCTCCCTACCACCTGTCTCTGGTTTCCCCACTCGTGATTGCGGTTCGCTTCGCACTGCCCCAATTCTTCTCTTCCCAGTCCGTCTTTACTTGCCTCTCACATGCACGTTCCTTGTTCTCCTTCCCAA